GTTATGTGTCGATGGGAGGTGGGGACAGCCACGCGAAGCTGAGTGGTGCACTGTCGCATTCATGGATGCCAGGACCAGGAAGATAATACATTGCGTCACCTTGCCGAAAACACCAGACGATCTGGCATCCAATCAGTTAGAGGGGGTTGCTTTTAGCACAGGGGTGCAAGACCTTCAGAAGTGGGGTTTTCCAATAAAGGGCATAGTTTCATACGAGGGTGCGACATTCAAGCTTGGGATCCTTGGTACTAGTATAGAGCATCAACGCGATGTGTGGCATAAGGGCCGTTCGCTATCACGCATGTTTCATAAAAAATTCATGGAGGGGAAGAAAAAGGTAAAACACCCATCAGATGCGGACACAATCCAGGATCTTTGGAACATCAAGGCTGAAGACCTCAAGGCATGGTTGCGAGAGCGGCTTGGGCCCAAATTGCCAGGAGTACCCAAAAAACCGACGAGGAAGGATTTAAACAAGGAAGTCTGTAAGCTGAAGAAGATCGGTTTTGTGGATTTGGCGGATGTTAGCACGCAATACGAGTTCCCCGAGATGCGACGTGTTGTCCAGGTGCTAGGCCAGAGTGGGGGTGGGGTGGTGAACAGGGGGGGTAGAGCATCACAAGGCCCGGAGGGGCTAGTGGTAGGGGGCCAGGAGGGTGTGGTGAGCATGGTAGAGGTACCCGTTACTGAGGGTCGAGGACCTGCTGGCAGTGGGTGCGCCAGCGGTTCTCCAGACAGTGGGGTTTACGGAGGATCGGTCGCCATTGACATCTTGGAGGGGAATACGATGGAGCCAAGCGCGGACGATGATGGGTTGGATTTCCGATTTTCGGATGTAGCAGAGCTGTGGGGATATGATCCCCACCCGGAGCATGGCGTTCGACCATGCTCAGTGCAGTCGTTCATGATCTTACATGCTTCAGCTTCATCTCACAGTGCGGCCGCGCGAGATGATACGACCTGTGCATCCGCTTCGAGGAACACATATTCTGGTTCAGGTAATGCAGAGCGAACGTTCAATTCGTTGTGATTGTCTTATTCGACATGATGTCCACGTGACCATTTCCTTTGTCATATTCCTGTCACTAAATGACCTCCCAAATGTGCATATTATCTGCATGCATATTATCTGCATCTATCAACATCCACCATGATGATGCAGGGGCTGGAGGTGGACCAAGTTCATCCAGTAAAACCCTGCGATGGGTGGAAAAGGGAACTCGGGGCAGGAAACGAGGAGTGGAGTCACGTGATGCGGAGGAGGTGGAGGAGTGCGAGGGCGTGATCAGGGAGGTGACTGTCGCGCAGCGATTTAGCATCCACTTTCATCACGTGATGGCTCGCTGTGCCGCGCTATTCAAGGAAGGGCGATCAATGACGGCAAAAGAGGTCGCATACGAGATTGGACTTGCTGCTGATCATTGGGCTGGTGACCACTCACGTTGTGCCCGCCAAGGATCCCCCCTTCCTAGATGTGTCAGGGATAATTGGGGATTAGAGAGTGCAGTGTACGCACCAGGCTCAGATACTCACATAGCGTTCAAGGCTTGGTTGGCGGAAAATTGTGGGCCAGAGGAGATGGCAGCATATGTCCATGGAGCTGGCAATTGGATGAATGAGTCATTTCATTCATTAATTTGCAAGTATGCACCCAAACGCATACTATTTCATGGAAGCATGAAAGCACGTGTGGGGCTTGCTATCATGCATTGGAACAACTCACTGGAGAGGGAGGTGCGTGCTACAAAAATAAGGATCCAGCGAGCAACACGAGTGCGTCGTGGGAAGACCAGCCGTGTTTTGGGGCCCATGAACTGGAGTGTTATAGTCACAGTAGGCTCCAATATGCCTAAAACGAAAGATAGAGTGCACAGCCGGATTTCTGCACAGCGACTTCAAACGTTCATAGCGTTCTGGTCACAGCTTTAAATGACTTGATTCAACTTGGATCTGGAGCGTCTTATTGTCGCCTACAATAGGCAATTTAGATCGCACGATTTTACCAAGTATTGAGGACACAACGTCAGTTTGAACGAACGGCACTATGGCAGCCACTATAGTCTTAGAACACAAGATAGGAAGAGTTGGGAAGAGTTACGAGTTGGGAATGACTCCCAGCTCCTACAAACCCCAAGAGCTGAGGTACAGTGATGTGGAACAGTGCCACACTGTCCCCAACCACGAAGGGTCTCGAAACTACCCTTCACTAGGGCCTACACCAAGTGAAATATTACACTACACAAAGTAATGTAACTATCTTCAATATCTTGAGGTGTACCCTTTTGGCGAGCTTCGAAATCACTTGAGGCTTGACACCAAGGCTCGGGCTCTTCATCACAAACTCATCCTTGAGTTCTTGATGGGTCTGCTGCACACACCTGCGACACGCCGAACGTTCGACACAGGACAAAATAGAAACCGCGCACGACAAAATAGAAACCGCGCGCGAGACACAAACGACCGCGTAACACGCGTCTAGCGATAACTCGCTATTGACTCGACACACACACTCGACATCATGACTCAACATTCACACACAATTATAAGCATGAAATATATATTATCTCATGCCCTCATACCATTCCATACACACACACATGCACGCACACGGACAACAAGCCGAGTGCAAACCGTAGGGTTGCACCAACATGGAGCTGGGTTGATGACATCATGAAGGATTGGGAGTGCATGAAAGGTGACGGCATGGATGAGGATGTTGAAGTTGACATTGTGGTTTCAGCTCCACACACCCCTCAACCTCCGTCCAAGCGGAGTCGAACTTTGTCCAACCGGCCAACGATAACTCCACGGCCTTTATTTGGTACGTCCCATCGGAATAAACATGCTTCATCTGGTGATTTGTTGCTGATTAAAATATGAACACTACCATACATCTAACACCTTTGTTGCGTTCTGCCCCTTGGTCCATGCAGGTGATCTTAGCAATGTCGCATGAGCATATTGGTGCCACCAAGGAAAAACAGCAACCATTTGATTAGGGTTGGCTTTTCCGCCCCCCAAAGTATGTATTTTATGTTATCCCTAATAATGTTACTTCGTTTCCCCCCCTTGAAATGTGTCTTCCCACATAGAGCACCGTTCGTTTCCCACCTTTTACATTATGTTTTCTCCCGCAGGCCTTACCATGCCGTTCCCCCCTCTTGCATTTGTTTTTTCCCCTTACCACATCACATTGGCCCCCCCTCCAACATCCTGTCTCGACTCTTAGCACACCATCCCGTTCCCCCCTCTTATTGTTTTTTTCCCCGTTCGCACACCTTTCCATTCCCCCCACTGCAGGACTTCCTTCCCCCCACTGCCTAACCTCCTTTCCCCTCACTCCCTGTCTTCATTCCCCCCACTGCAGGACTTCCTTCCCCCCACTGCCTAACCTCCTTTCCCCTCACTCCCTGTCTTCATTCCCCCCACTGCAGGACTTCCTTCCCCCCACTGCCTAACCTCCTTTCCCCTCACTCCCTGTCTTCATTCCCCCCACTGCAGGACTTCCTTCCCCCCACGGCCTAACCTCCTTTCCCCTCACTCCCTGTCTTCATTCCCCCCACTGCAGGACTTCCTTCCCCCCACTGCCTAACCTCCTTTCCCCTCACTCCCTGTCTTCATTCCCCCCCACTGTAGGGCTTTGTTCCCCCCAACGACTGGCCTCCTTTTCCTTCACTATCGGGCTTCCTTCGCACCCACTGCATTCGCTTCCACGACTGTGTAGCCCCGTAACGGTATGCTGAAAATGTCTGCGTTTTCTTTGTTTACTTTTCCAGATCATTTGTACATAACAGTTCCACATGTCTAGTTGCATGGGGTCCTACGTTCTGTTAGCACCTTGACTCGATTCGCTTCTGTGACCTGCATAAAACCCCTCTTGGCATATTCATATATTTTGATTGACTATGCGTCCCTCCCCTTCCTTGCTTCCCCTTGACTGCTTTCCGTTTCACCTCCTGCATTCCCCCCTCCATACCATTTGCAGGACCCTGTGATGTTATTATACAACATATCGTTGGCATGGCGGGATTGTTGGCACTATGCTACCGTAATAAGGTCAATGACGGCAAGAGTGGTCGCATACGAGATTGGACTTGCCGTTTTCATTTTATGAATTACTCAGGGTGCGCTTATTTAGCAACTAACATGCACACGGGTCTACAAATTAGACATACGGTATTCGTACAGTGAACGACACTAAGTGCTACCCTCAATACCAAGCAACCCATTAGCACTAGCACAATCAAAGTCGATGCGAGTGGGCAACCCTCGGATTGCATTGAACCACGCCACATCATCCGCACCACATCCAACATACAACCCGCCTTGAGGCTCGGGGTATATTGTTGCAATAACCACATAGATCAACCATGGCAGCTCAACTTGATCACCTGAGTCATCACCCAACAAGTCCGAATAACAGACATAACAACGGAAGCGGTGGTTTTTCGGATACAACTCCTCCTCATTTGCACCAACACTCATGTTTGCACCGCAACAGACACGAATGATGTTCTCGACGGTACGCTCGGTGGCGAAGCGACCCACTGTGGACTCGCTAGGGAACCCCAACCACGCTGAGCCCCACTTGCCCAACACCTCACACTGTTTTGGAAACCGCCTTGCAAATTCAGCGATCGTCCAGCAGTACAATGGCGTCCTAATCACTGGTGGTAGGCCAGATCGAACTCGGGCCCGTCTAGTGATCTTAGGTGTGGAGAAGTTCGAGAGACTGCTTGTCTGAGACTCCACGCTCGAAGTCACTGGACGCGGATCGGATAGACTCTGCGGAACCGTTTCTTCCTCGTCATCCTCACATACTAGCCTAATGGGATCTGGCCGACGACGCATGAGCGCACGAGAGCGTGGCCTGCCACACAACGGGAACCAAAGGACACGTTTTTTATGCAATATTACTCACAAGCATACCCCTGCCAAGTAGTTGCATAGCTAATCCCTAAACTGGCATGCAAAGCGAGCTTTCTGCACAAGATATTTACCGTATTGGTCCGCCAGATCGGGTCTTCCTCGATAAGCAGTTGGAATTCTCGTGACCGTTCGTCATTGTTCTTCCGTGAGCGTTCCAGTCCGGGAGAGAACGGAGGCGGTGTCGCGATTTTTGGCTGAGATTGAACAGAGGGAAGAGTGAAAGCCCATGTATGGCCAAAAGGACAGCGGTGGAAGGGAGAGAGTGCAGGCCCATTGGCATGGAAGTGAGGGGATGGAGGGCAGGTAAGCGTGAAGGGGGATGGCCAAAAGGATAGTGGTGGGAGGGAGAGAGGCGGGTATTAGTGGGAGAGGGGACTAGGAGATATCCATGGATGTTGCAGCATATGGGTGGCGATAATTACGTTCGGGGAGAGCATGCGAAATAAAGTGTGAGATAAATGGGTGAAAGATGAGGGGTAGGGGGATAAACCCTGAACCAGCACATGGGGGAATATGGTGTTTGGGGAATGAGGATGGGGGGGGAAGAAGCAAGGAAGGGAAGCAAGAGGTCCCGTGATTACGGGAGAGAGGGGCGTTATGAAGACTGCTGATACAAGTGTCTACGTGCAATATGCTGTAGTTTTCTTGGGAAAGAGGGGCGGGAGGGAGCGAAAGGGGGGATAAAGAGAGGCACAGAAACACCGAAAGGAAATTCCTGGGAGTAATGCAGATAGGGGAAAGGGTAGAGAAGGAAGTAAGCACGAGAGGGGAGAGGGGGTTGAGAAGGAAAGTGAGCACGAGAGGGGAAAGGGTAGAGAAGGGAGTAATGCAGAGAGGGGTAAGGGTGGAGAGGGGAGTAAGCACGAGAGGGGAAAGGGTAGAGAAGGAAATAAGCACGAGAGGGGTAAGGGTAGAGAAGGGAGTAAGGCAGAGAGGGGTAAGGGTGGAGAGGGGAGTAAGGCAGAGAGGGGTAAGGGTGGAGAGGGGAGTAAGGCAGAGAGGGGTAAGGGTGGAGAGGGGAGTAAGGCAGAGAGGGGTAAGGGTGGAGAGGGGAGTAAGGCAGACCCTGGTAAGGGTGGAGAGGGGAGTAAGGCAGAGCCAGAAGGGTAGATAAGGGAGGAAGGTTTCAAGGGAGTAAGGTAGAGAGAGGAGCATAGGTAGAGAGGGGACAGGGTACAGTTCAGAGTATTGCAGAGAGGAGAAAGGGTTGAGAAAGGAGTAAGGCAAAGAAAGAGATGTGGTAGGGTGAGCGGGGGGAGATGGAAGGCTGAGGGGAGGACGAGATTGGAGAGGTGAACGAAGAGAGTGAGGCAGAGATGGAGGTACACAGACATGAATAAGCGACATTTGAAAGGGGTGCGTTTTGAGAACAGGAGGGGGTGGGGGTGGGGAGGGGTGGGTGGGGTGGGATGGGGCGCACGATATGGGGAGAGAGAGAACACAGGAGGAACCCCCCCCCCCCCCCCCCCCCCCCCCCCTCCTCTCCCCCTCTCGCTGCTATTTCCTCCCCTTCCCCCCCCCCTCCTCGCAGTGCTGCCATGCGCCGTCCCGCTGCTTTTTCCCCTCCCTTCGCCCCCCCCCCCCCCAGCCACCCGCCATCTCCATGCTAAGCAAGTGGCGACTCACATCTCGACTGGGGTGGTTGAGAGAGGGTTGCTTGCCTGTGGACAGGGAGGGAGGTGAGGGGAGGGAGGGAAGGTAAGCATGAGGGGCAGGGCGGGCCAAGAGGATAGCAAGGGGGGCGAATAAGGGACAGAGGGGGGAGGAAGCGTGTCGAATGGGGAGAAGCGCGCAGATGGGAGAGGCTAGAACGGGAGTGAGGGGAAGGAGGGAGCTATGGGGGGGATATGGCAGAGATGAGGGATAAGATTGAGGGACGATGAGTGGCGGAATTGAGTGAAGGGGGGCGGATACGAGTGATGGGATGCGCAAGCGACCGAAGGGAGGCGATAATGAGTGAAGGGAGGCGGAAATGAGTGAAGGGAGGCGGAAATGAGTGAAGGGAGGCGGAAATGAGTGAAGGGAGGCGGAAATGAGTGAAGGGAGGCGGAAATGAGTGAAGGGAGGCGGAAATGAGTGAAGGGAGGCGGAAATGAGTGAAGGGAGGCGGAAATGAGTGAAGGGAGGCGGAAATGAGTGAAGGGAGGCGGAAATGAGTGAAGGGAGGCGGAAATGAGTGAAGGGAGGCGGCAATGAGTGAAGGGAGGCGGAATTGAGTGAAAGGAGGCGGAAACGAGTGATGGGAGGCGGAAACGAGTGAAGGGAGGCGGAAATGAGTGAAGGGAGGCGGAATTGAGTGAAGGGAGGCGGAATAGAGTGAAGGGAGGCGGTACTGAGTGAAGGGATGCGGAAATGAGTGAAGGGAGGCCTCAATGAGTGATGGGTGGCGGAAACGAGTGAAGGGAGGCGGACATGAGTGTAGGGAGGCGGACACGAGTGTAGGGAGGCGCTAATGACTGAAGGGATGCGATAACAAGTGAAGGAGGCGGAAATGAATGAAGGGAGACATACATGAGTGAAGGGAGGCGGAATTGAGTGATGGGAGGATCAAATGTGTGATGGGAGAAGGACACGATTGAAGGGAGGCGGAAAGGAGTGATGGGTGGCGGAATTGAGTGAAGGGAGGCGGAAACGAGTATACGGAGCCGGAAACTTGTGAAGGGACTCCGAAACGAGTGATGGGACGCGAATTCGAGTTACGGGAGGCGAAAACGAATGACGGGAGGCGAAAACGAGTGATGGGAGGCGAAAACGAGTGATGGGAGGCGAAAACGAGTGATGGGAGGCGAAAACGAGTGGTTTGCGGCGCAAACGAGTGATGGGAGGCGGAATCGAGTGGAGGGTGGCGGAAAGCAGCGAGGAGAGGCTCCAACGAGTCATTGGAGGCGGAAACGAGTGATGGGGGGAGGGTACAATGAAGGGAGGGGGAAATGAGTGATGGGATGCGGAAATCACTCGGAGTGATGGGATGCGGAAATGTGTGCTTGGAGGCGGAAGTGAGTTATGGGTGGCGGCGGACGAGAGTGCTGGGAGAGGCGTGGGAGAACGGATTAGCTTTTTCTACCGTTGGCGATATTGCGAGGTGGGTTTACAGCAGGCAGAGAGGCGTCCGAAAACGGTAACTCAAAGCGGCGTGGTTTTCATGCAGCGAGAGGTGTTCAATCGGCCGACGTACAGATCCGGTTTCTGGTCGGACATGGGCGAGAAACCGGGACGTCGCGCATCCTCAACATAAACCGAAATCGTGCGCATATCGTGTGGAGAGATGTGACATAAACCGACATCGTGCGCATATCGATACGGGCGTTCAACATTGAGGGAAAACGGACCTCCAGACGCGTGAGGTACGGGCGGGTATAAGCGTAGAATACTGTTGTGTCTTGCCGCGTGGAGCCTGACCCTAAACCGGACGTCACGATACCTCGAGACCCTGAGGCGAGGGATATGCAAGGCGTGTGGCGATGCTGAGTGTGTGTTCTGAAGTGTAGGAACACGGCGCGACGATGCGGTGGAAAGGGTCGCTTAGGAGGGGGAGTATCAGCGCGCCTGGAAAATAGCTGTGTACTCTGCTATGTCGGGCTGCCTACTATTATGGACTAGTCAAACCTAACACCTGCATGCGATGGGAAGCGATTGAGTTCACTTTTGTTCAAAGGTTTTTATTGTCAATAGCAGCGGGGAGATGCCAAGTCAGTCGCGCAAGTTCTCCCCCTGCCGTTTGGCCCCCAACTCCCGCAACGCAGGGTACATGGTTACCAGGCGTTCAAAAAAAAAACTTCTGAACCCAAACCTGCCAAAAGTGCACCGTCGCTTTAAAGCCCAAGACCTGAATTACTCAACGGAAGTCAACGCTAAAAACTAGGTTCGGGAGGCAGGCACGGAGAGGTTCGGTTGGGTTGCGAGAGATTTTCACTCGCGAAACCAATTTGCGACAAAAGTTTCTCGCTTCCCATGATGGTTGGTGCCCTTCCCACAACCAGAAAAGCGCGAGCTTATCAAACTGTGCACAGTTTGGGATAGCACGCAGAGTATTAGGCATAGACCATACCTGTAGACAGGGCAGGGCGTCGGCGTTCACTCAAAAGGGAGTAGATGCGCCATATGATTTGGGTGGCGCGGATTTGCAATGATGACGCGCAAAGCTAGTTTGCGCTGGGTGAAGATTATTGTGTCGAAATGCAGGTTATTGTGCAACTACTCCGTAGCGTAAACTCGTGGCGAAAATCGAATCGCAACCGTTCGCCCAAACGTGACCCTCCCCTCGCCCTCGCTTTCCTTTCCCACGCTTCCGCTCTCTTTCGCCCGCGTCGTCGCCATCGCTTCCGCAGCTCGTCGCGTGCGCGTCGCCTTCGCTCCGCCCGTCGCCTTCACTTCTCCCCCGTCGCCTTCACTTCTCCCCCGTCGCCTTCACTCCCCCCCCTCTTCCGTTGCCTTCATTTCCCCCTCCCGTCGCCTTCACTTCCCCCTCCCGTCGCCTTCACTTCCCCCTCCCGTCGCCTTCAATTCCCCCTCCCGTCGCCTTCATTTCCCCCTCCCGTCGCCTTCATTTCCCCCTCCCGTCGGCTTCATTCCCCCCTCCCGTCGCCTTCACTTCCCCCTCCCGTCGCCTTCACTTCCCCCTCCCGTCGCCTTCACTTCCCCCTCCCGTCACACTCGCTTCCCCACCCGTCACCTTCACTTCCCCTCCCATTGCCTTTCACTCTCTCCTGCTCAATCTCTTTCCCCCTGCTCACTCTCTTCTCCCCTGCTCACTCTCTTTCCCCCTGCTCACTCTCTTCCCCCCTGCTCACTCTCTTCCCCCCTGCTCACTCGCTTCCCCCCTCCTCAATCTCTTCCCCCCTGCTCACTCTCTTCCCACTCTCTTCCCCCCTGCTCACTCTCTTCCCCCCTGCTCACTCTCTTCCCCCCTGCTCACTCTCTTCCCCCGTGCTCACTCGCTTCCCCCCTCCTCAATCTCTTTCCCCCTGCTCACTCGCTTCCCCCCTCCTCATTCTCTTTCCCTCTGCTCACTATCCTTGTTCTAACCCCACTTTCCCCATTTCTCACCCATTTTCCCCCTTTACGCTCTCTTACCCCCTCTGCTCGCCCCTGTTTTCCCAACTCACGCCTATACTCACTCTCTCCCCCCCTGCTCACTCTCTTCCCCCCCTGCTCACTCTCTTTCCCCTTGCTCACTCTCTTTCCCCCCTTCTCACTCTCTTTCCCCCTTCACGCTCTCTTTCCCTCCCTTCCGCCCGTTGCCCCCCTTCGTCTCGCGCTCGTCCCCTCGCAATCCCCGTCTCTCTCTCCCCCCGTCGCCCTCGTTTTCCCCGTCGCCCTCCCTTCCACTCCTCGTTGCCCTCGCCATCCCTCCCTTCTCCCTTCCCATCTCGCACACTTGTCACGCCCCCTTTCCAACCCGCACATACACCCTTCCCTTCTTCCCTGTTTCCTCGTATCCCCTGCGCTGCTTCCCCCCATCCTCCGACTTGCTCCCCCCATCCCCTTCCCTGCTTCCCCCCAACCCCTTCCCTGCTCCCCCCCATCCCCTTCCCTGCTTTCCCCCTTCCCCTTCCCTGCTTCCCCCCGTCCCCCTCCCTCCTTCCCCCGTCCCCCTCCCAGCATCCCCCCATCCGCTTCCCTGCTCACCCCCATCCCCTTCCCTGCTCCCCCCCATCCCCTTCCCTGCTTCCCCCTATCTCCTTCCCTGCTTCCCCCTATCGCCTTCCCTGCTCACCCCTGCTCCCTCTGTTTCACCCTTGCTCCCTCCCCTTCTTCTCTGCTCACTCTCTTCCCCCTTGCTCACTCTCTTTACTTCTGCTCACTCTGTTCCCCCCTGCTTCCTCTCTTCCCCTCTGTTCAATCTGTCCCCCGCTGCTTCTTCTCTTCCCCTCTGCTCATTCCGTTTACTGTCTTTCCCCCTTCACTCACCCCCATACCCCCCAATGCAGTTACAGGTGCTCAGCACCAGATGTGGCTTTACCACGGCCTGGTTTATTGCTTGCAGTGTAGCAGACAAAACCGGAAAACAACATTACACATACACCCCCTAGCTTTGTTCCCTTCTCGAGTCTGGTGATTCCCGTTACTTTACAGATACGGTAATATATTAATTGTTGAACTCCTTGGTATTGGTCATGTGTATGATTGCTCTGAGGCTCATAATCCTGAATTATAAAAAAAGAATCCAATATATGGCATGGCTATACGTGTGTTACTATCAGACAGCTAGCACATGCACAACCAGATGCAGAGCAGACCTGTCCAAACACAAATCAAGAAGTCAGATGTGACGTGGCTGAAGTATAAGGGAATGACAACTGGCAAATGAGGAAGGGAGGAACGGAGGAAGGGAGGAAGTGAGGAATGCAGGAATGAAGGAAGGGAGGAAGTGATGATGGGAGGAAGGGAGGTAGGGAGGACGCTTGGGGGAGAAGCAGAAGGGAGGGGAGGAAGAGAGGCTGGGGAGGAGGGTGGGGAGGAGGGTGGGGAGGAGGGTGGGGAGGAGGGTGAGGAGGAGGGTGGGGAGGAGGCTGGGGAGGAGGGTGGGGAGGAGGCTGGGGAGGAGGCTGGGGTGGGGCGGAATGGGGTGGGCCAGAAAGGGGTGGGGCGGAATGGAGTGGGGCAGAAAGGGGTGGGGCGGAATGGGGTGGGGCGGGGCGGAATGGGGTGAGGCGGATTGGGGAGATGAGGGATGGGGAGATGAGGGATGAGGAGATGAGGGATGGGGAGGTGTGGGATGGGGAGGAGAGGGCTGGGGAGGAGAGGGATGGGGAGGTGAGGGATGAGGAGGTGAGGGATGGGGAGATGAGGGAAGGGGAGATGAGGAATGGGGAGATGAGGAATGGGGAGATGAGGGAAGGGGTAATGAATGAACGTGTATGCGACGGAAGGGTGCTGCTGACCACGCACCCTCCCACACCCCACGCGATGGGAAGGGATGAGAGGGTGGGCGGCATGGGTAGAGAAGCGATGGTGAATAGGGGGAACGTGATGGGCAGGGGAGTGATGACGACGTGGAGAGAGGAGGAGAGAAAGGAGGTCGGCGGGAAGGCTAAGCGAGGACGATGGGAGGGCAAGCGTGGGCGACAGTGGCGGTGGGCGACGGTGGCGGTGGGCGACGGTGGCGGTGGGCGACGGTGGGGAGAAGCGTGGGCGACGGTGGGGGGAAGCGTGGGCGACAGTGGGGGGAAGCGTGGGCGACGGTGGGGGGAAGCGTGGGCGACGGTGGGGGGAAGCGTGGGTGACGGTGGGGGGAAGCGTGGGCGACGGTGGGGGGAAGCGGGGGCGACGGTGGGGGGAAGCGTGGGTGACGGTGGAGGGAAGCGTGGGCGACGGTGGGGGGAAGCGTGGGTGACGGTGGGGGGAAGCGTGGGCGACGGTGGGGGGAAGCGTGGGCGACGGTGGGGAAAGCGTGGGTGACGGTGCTCCGAAGCGTGGGCGACGGTGGGAGGAATCGTGGGCGATGAGAGGGGAAACGTGAGGGAAGGTGGGGAAAGGTGTGAGCGACGGTGTGGGGGAAGGCCGGAGGAAGCGTGAGCGGCGATAAGGGGAAGCGTGAGCGACTGTGGGGGAAAGCTTGGGCGACGGTGGGAAGAGTGGGCGTGTGCGTGGGGAGGTGTGTGAGAGACGGTGGGGAGAAGCGTGGGGGACGCGGAAGGCGATAGGTCCAAATGCGATGTTTGGGAAAGAGCTAGGAATAAAAGTGAAAATGCTCATGGCCTAAGCTGTAGTGGCGTTTTATTCTATCTCTTCGCATACTCTAATCGCTTCGCGTACTATGGAAATCACACGACCTGAATTACCGAAGAAGGCAAACTGTGCACATTTTGAGCCCTTGTTCCTTCAGGAGGGTGTGGTTGGGACTCTCGCCAACCAAACCTGTTCTGCTCTACGACTCTCTGTTTCTTGGCGCAATGTTTTCTGGTAACCAGCCTGGCTCGGGAGGTCAACTGTGGGTTCGGTAGGCAAACTGTGCACAGTTTGCCTTCCTTTTTTTGTAATTCAGGTCTTGGGCTTTAAGCGACCAAGTGAGCAAGAATCGTCGGATCGTTTTTTCACTTAACGGATCTAGGGATCAGATCAATCGAGTGGACGTTGTCGAATGGCGGGAAACGCAAACGACAACTCGAAATGGAACACACCGACTCGAGCGGGTTTCGCGGTAGATGCTCAGCCAATGGAATTGGAGCAAGCCCAGCCCTTAGAAGGCTGTGGGGTGGGATGGAGTCGGGGTTGGATGTGCTTCCCTGCTCTTTCTGCCTTCTGGGGAGAACCTCACAGGTTGGAGGCAGCGTGTGGGTAAGGAAGGGCTGTTGAGGATATAGCGAAGTGGGTTAACGAGCTCATTCGTTGAAAGGGCGAACTAGGCGAAACCGTCTGTAGTAACAGGGCTTCTTGCCCAACCAGACTGGATGTGGGTCCAGGCAGATACGAACGTGGTAAATCTGACCTGGACGTCCTGGAGCTTTGCTTCAGTGTCGATACCAGACCTGACAGGGGGTAGCGAACCGTAGGATCTGCCACGAGGAGCGCTGTGATTGGGAAGGCGCTGCCCGATGATCTGAACTAGACTGAGTGATGTCGTGAGGGTGATGCCAGCAGAGTTTCGCTGCCCTGGTGGCAAGATTCCTCAGCATTCGCCTTATACTCATAACAGCTGATGAGTGAAAAAGTCAAGCAGCACTTTAGTCGGTGGAAGTCACGCGGGATTGCACATCCATGTAAAAATCATACACAAAAGACTTCCATTCCAACCCACCTAAAAACGAAGTGTGTAAGGGCTTACAAATCATTAGGCACTCTTTAGCGAGGCCATCCCGAGGGTCACGCGACGAACCTGTTTGGCATATTTCGTCGGCCGAACCACTCCCGAGTCGGCCTCCGCTCCAATCGCAACCATCACCGAGCCATCTTCGCCCTACCTCTTTGCCTAGCTAGGACTTCCCCTATTTAGGCCTCGTCGCTTTGTGTGTTCATTCAGTAATTCTGTTGTCAACCATTCTCGTTATTCGTTTTACTGCGCTCTCTGCAAGATCATTCATAACAAAGTGGCATCTCACATGTGATTGACATACACATATACTGCACCTAAAAACCCCAAGACAGATTTCACGCGCGGTTCCTTCATGGCAAGAAGCAGTGATTCTGAATCTTGACATTTTCAATTGGAATTGTGCAAAGTTATGCAGGGGCTCTAGAAAGAGCTGAGCCTCACACTGACCCACACAAAAGCCAAAAGCTGAAAAGCCAATAATAGTAAATGGCTGAAGCAGGCCACTGGAGTAAACCATATGGGTACTTGCTTACTAAATACATCCAATGGACAATGGACATTTAAACACCAACAAAACCGAAAGTCCTGCGTGGCATTCCTTGCAGCATCCCACTGTGTCTCTACACCCCGGTTGCAGTAGCTTAGGCAGCCCCCTGGTGATTTAGGCAGCTCAGGCAGATCAGGCACTTCAACTCAAACCCGTTCAGGCAGATCAGAAAGCAGGCAGCTCAGGTGGTTTCGGCGGTGTGAGCGGTTTCATTCATCTGAGCTGAGCGGTTTAAGCAGGAACCTTGGAGGCGATCTTCTCCTTGGACTTGTGCAGCTCGAGCACCTTCTTCACCATCTTCTGCTCCTATACCCGGAACGCACGGATGATTCTGTTGTGGCCATGCGTGAAGGAACAATGCAAAGAGACAAGGTACGGTTAGGGTTAGGAAGTGAATCAGAAACCACTTCTTGACCATCTTCTACTCCTCTACCAGGAACGCACAGATGATTCTGTGGACGGGGAGCAGAGCAGAGCAGCAAGGGAGAGGGAGGGAGGAGTAGGGACGTGCGGGGGAAAAGGGGGAAACGAGGGGTGAACGAAGGAGGGGCATGTGGGGAGATGGGGGGTCAGCTGATGGGGGTTGGGAGGAGGAGAGGGGCATGGATGGGGGGGGGGGAGAATGAGGGGTGAGCAGATGGGAGGAATTGAGGGGAAAATGGCGGGTAAAAACGGAAGGTGGATGGAGGGGGGATGAAGAGCGAATGAGCGAGGAGACATAAATCGCAGTGAGATGAGGGGAGAGGGGAGAAATGGGGTGAGAGCGGGGAGATGAGGGGAGAGGGGGGAGATGAGTGGAGAGCGAGGAGATGAGGGGAGAACGAGGGAGGGGGGGGGGTGGTGAGCAGAAAACGGGGGAATGGGGGACGAGCTAGAAGAGGAAGGAGCGGGGGGGAGGATGGGGAGAAGGCGCGGGAAGGAGAAGGGGGAAACATGGGGAAGGGGAGAAAGCACAGGGAAGTCAGAATCCCAGCCACTAACCACTGGGATAAAAGAGCTTGTTAAGTAGCGGATGAGTGCGCCCATAACCCCCCAGGCTAACGTGCCTGTAACCCTTCCCTAGGATCAATCGGGGATCACCAGTAAACCTCTGACAGGGGGAAACACGGGGAAGGGGAGAAAGCACGGGAAAGGGGAGAAAGCAGGGAAAAGGGGGAATCACGGGGATGGGGGAAATACGGGGATGGGAAGAAAGCAAGGGGAAGGGGGAAACACGGGATGGGGAGAAACACGAGGAAGGAGGCAACACGGGGATGGGGAGAAAGCACGTGGCCGGTCCCCCACGTCGCCTCTCACCAGTCTATTGCCACGCACCGCAAAGGGGGACGGGGGGAATTTGCGGAAAGGGGCTCCAAGAGGTGCCTCAGACTAACCGCCCGCTTCCCCAGCGGCGCCTCTCGCTGCGGGAAAAGGGGCCGTTCCGCTACGTCGCTCCTCGCCAGTCCATCACCCTCTCATCCCCCTCCCAACCACCCCTTCTTCCTCTCTTCTTCTTCCAGCCTTGACAACAATGGTGTGTGTGGAGTGTTTCAAACCCTGTCAAGCACTTTAGATCTGTGTAGGTATTGGATCCGCTCGTACAGCGTATTCCAATTGGGCCGCCACAATATGTCTGCTGATCGAATTTCCCTCCTAAATCATGCTGGTCTCCGCCGTCATGGCTGGGGAAATTCGTTGGCCCATATAAGGGTCCGTTCCTGGCTCGTGTCAAACTTCCCGTCTTCCCGGGAAGACCCGAAGGTTTAGGTCAAACTTCCTGTCAAACTTCGTGTCTTCAGAAAACAGAAGTTGGTTTCGGATGACCCAAAGTAGGGCCAGCTTCGTGCCATCCCCGGAAGACCGGAAGTTTGACACGAGCCAGGAACGCACCCTAACGCACTATCTGAACCGTACTGACTAATCCGCAAACAACCGCAAACATGTCGTGCCTGCGCTGCGCTGCCCGCGCGCGCCCTACCTTGCCTGCGCTGCGCTGCCCGCGCGCGCCTCTGCCTTGCCTGCGCGCGGTGTCCTAGTCCCGAGCGTGCCGCCTACTCCTGTCCCGCGAGCCGCCTTAGGAGACCGCGCGCGGCCCGCTGCTGCCCCGCACGCCGCCTTAGGAACCCGCGCGCCGCCTTAGGAGCCCGCGCGCGGCTTGCTGCTGCCCCGCGCGCCGCGTCCGCCGCCCGCGCAACCAGCTGCAGCCCCGCACGCTGCGTCAGCCACCCACGCAGCCCGCTGCAGCCCCGCGCTCCGCGTCCGCCGTCCGCGCAGCCCGCTGCTGCCCCGCGCGCCGCGTCAGCCGCCCGCTCAGCCCGCTGCAGTCCCGCGCGCCGCGTCCGCCGCCAGCGCAGCGCGCTGCAGCCCCGCGCGCCGCGTCCGCCGCCCGCGCAGCCCGCTGCTGCCCCGCGCGCCGCGTCCGCCGCCCGCGCAGCCCGCTGTTGCCCAGCGCGCCGCGTCCGCCGCCCTAGCACGGCCCGCTTCTGCCGCGCGCTGCCTTACCCGCCCGCGCGCTGCGTCAGCAGCTTGCGCGCGCCTCGCCGCTGCCCTACGCGCCGCCCTTGCCACGTGCGTGCCGCCCCAGTAGCTTGTGCACTGCCGTTGCCGCCCTGTACGCTGTTTCTCCTGTCTGTGCTCTGCCTTGCCGCCTACGCGCTACTCTTACCTGCGCTGCACTCATGGCGACTCTCAATGTCCTCGCTTTCGATCCTGACGGTCGCCTGATAGAGTTTGCCACTTGGCTCGACGACCTGCAACTGTTTCTTCTGACTGATGCCAAAGACGGAGTTTCACTGTTCGATTACGTGACTGGCACTGCCGTTGCTCCTGCTGACACTGCTGCCGCTCTTGACCGCTCACAGTGGCAGACTCGTGATGCAGCTGCGCGCCTCGCTATTCGCAACCATCTGCCGATCACTGAGCGCGCGCACTTTAGTCAGCACAAGACTGCTAAGGCACTGTATGAGGCTGTAGTTGCCCGCTACTCTTCCCCAGCCACTGCAGCTGTAGGTCGTCTCATGCTACCCTACCTGTTGCCCGACTTGTCCTCGTTTACCACCGCTGAGGACCTCATCTCTCACCTCCGTGCTAGTGACGCTCGCTTTTGTGCCGCCCTTTCAGACGAGTTCCTCGCCGAGAATCACCCCCCGATGTACTTTACTCTCTACTTCCTCATCACCCGCCTCCCTGACACTCTTCGCTCAGTCAGGGACCACTTTCTCGCCCTAGACCTGACCACTATCACTGTTGCCGACTTTGAGACGCACCTCCTAGCAGCTAAAAAGAACATTCTCGCTGTAAGTGCTGCTCGTGGCACTCCTCGCACTCCCCTCTTTGAGGGGTGCTCCCCCTCCCCTCTTGCCCCCTCCTACGCCTCTACTGCAGCTGCTCTCGACTACCTTGGTGCTGAGGAGGTCGGGGCTGCTTCCGCTCCTAGTGGGAAGCGCCACAGCGCCAGGGGATGCAGGGGTGGCAAGGGAGGTGGAGGTGGTGGTGGAGGGGGCGGTGGTGGAGGCGGCGGGGGTGGTGGAGGTGGTGGGGGTGGTCGTGGGGGTGGAGGTGGTGGTGGGGGCGGCGGGGGTACCGGGGGCAATGGAGGTGGCAGCGGCGGGAGTGGGGGAGGAGGGAGCGGTGGTGGCAGTGGTGGTGGGAGCTGGAGTGGAGCTGGCCAGAAGGGGAGCTCCAGTGGTGGCCAGGGACAGCAGCAGCAGCAGGGTTAGAGTCAGACCCCCACGCCTCAGCAGCTTCATGACTGGTACGCTCAGCGTGGGGCGTCTAGGGGTCCTGTTCGGTGCACCTATACCATTCGCACAGGTCCTCGCGCTGGTCGCCCATGCAACGGCTTTCACACGGAGTACCGCTGCTTCTCTCGACTCAGCGACGCCTGGCGCGTCAAGTTTCCTGAGGCTACTGATTTTCCCCCTTGGGCTGATCTGCTTAGGCGTGATGTTCCCATCTTTGATCTTGACTATGATGCTATTCTTGCTGCCATGTATGCATTGACTGTTAGTGCTGAGGGTGACTGCTACTTGTGTGTACCGCCTGACCCAGGTATAGCCCCAGGTATCGAGCCTGCAGCCCTTGGTGCTTGTGAGTCTGTTCTCCCTGGTACTGCGTTGGCTCAGGCCTTGCACACCTTTACACTTGACTCTGGTGCTTCCCGCTGTTTCTTTCGCAACAGTACCACAGCCACTCCCCTCCCTGGACCTGTCCCAGTCTCACTGACTGACCCCTCTGGGGGCCCAGTGCTTGCACGGTCAACCACTGTGCTTCCGTGCCCGGCGGTCCCGTCTGGTGAGCTATCTGGTCTCTACCTCCCCTCGTTCTCTACGAACCTGGTGAGCAACGCCGTCCTTCAGGATCACTGGGTTGACACCTTTACTCCTCGAGGACAGCGTGTGGCGATCTGCACGTGCTCTCGGACAGGCCGCCACATGGCCACGTTCACATGTGCGCCTGGGTCCAGTCTGTACACCCTCACCACTGCGTCGCACTCCACCCCTTTGTCTCCTCAGTTGTACGCGTCCGCTCAGGTAGCTACCCAGTGTGAGTGTCGCCGCCTGTCGCACCAGACTCTCCTTTGGCACCACCGCCTTGGTCACCCCTCCTTGCCTCGCCTTCGTGGCATGCACTCTCGCCTCCTGGTCTCTGGTCTTCCCAGGTCTCTCCCCTCCCTCCCTCCCTCGCCTGTGCCGCCCTGCATTCCTTGCGTCGAGGGGCGGCAGCGCGCCGCTCCTCACTCCTCCTCGTTCCCTCCCACAGAGGCTCCACTGCAGACTCTCCACTTGGACGTGTGGGGCCCAGCCCGCGTCCGTGGACACGGCCACGAGCGGTACTTCCTGCTGGTAGTCGACGACTACACGCGTTATACCACGGTCCTCCCCTTGCAGCGCAAGGGGGATGTCCCTGCTGTTTTGATCCCTTGGATCCGCGCTGTTCGTCTCTAGCTCCGCGAGCGGTTCGAGTCGGACTTTCCTGTCCTTCGTCTGCACTCTGACAGAGGTGGTGAGTTCTCCTCTGACCTCTTGCGAGCCTACTGTGAGGAGCACGGCATCCGCCAGACGTTCACGCTCCCAGCCTCTTCGCAGCAGAATGGGGTTGCTGAGCGCCGCATTGGCTTAGTCATGGAGGTCGCTCGTACCTCCATGATCCATGCGGCCGCCCCCCATTTTCTGTGGCCGTTTGCGGTCTGGTACGCCGCGCATCAGCTCAACCTCTGGCCCCGTGTCTCCGTTCCGGAGACTTCGCCCACACTACGTTGGACGGGGGAGGTTGGCGATGCGTCGCGGTTCCGGGTCTGGGGTGCTTGTGCCTTTGACCGCGATACCACTGCGGATAAGCTCTCCCCTCGCGCCATTCCCTGCGTCTTCCTTGGTTTCCCCCCTGACGCGCCTGGCTGGCAGTTTTACGACCCTGCCTCGCGCCGTGTCTTTGCGTCTCAGGACGTCACCTTGGACGAGTCGGTCCCCTTTTACTGTCTGTTTCCCTACCGCACTGCAGCTCTCCCCCCCCCGCTGCTCTTCCTCGCTCCAAGTCCTCCCCAGGTAGACCCCCTCCCCGCTCCCGAATCCTGCTCCTTCAGGTGTGTCTCAGGTAGACCCTTCTCCCTTGACTGAGCCGGTTGAGGTCACAGGTAACTCAGGTCCTGCTGGGGGTGGTCCTGCTCAGGGTGCTGCTTGGGGAGTTCTGGGGGTACTGAGCCTGGGGTGCGGAGCCTGGGGGTGCTAAGCTTGGGGGTGCGGAGCATTGGGGTGCTGAGCCTGGGGGTGCGGAGCTTGTGGGTGCTGAGCCTGTGGGTGCAGAGCTTGGGGGTGTTGAGCCTGAGGGTGCGGAGCCTGGAGGTGCTGAGCCTGGGCGTGCGGAGTCTGGGGGTGCTGAGCCTGAGGGTACTGGGTCTGAGGGTGCTGCGCCTGGGGGTACTGAGGCGCCTGGTGAGCAGTCTCCTTGGAGCGGCCGCCTCCGTAGTCGCTCTGCTGGTGCCTCGCCGCAGCGCTCTCGTAGTCGTGTCCCGCTCTCCCCACAGCAGCTGCGCGAGTGGTACGTTAGCCGTCAGGGTCGCGCTGCTGGAGCTGGGGGTCCTGCTGCGGGAGGCGCTGGGGCTGATGGTACTGCTGGACCTGGAGGTGCTGCTGTAGACTCTGAGGTTGGAGACCCTGGAGCTGGAGGTGCGTGTTCTGGGGGTGCTACTGTTAGAGACACTGAAGCTAGAGACCCTGGGACTGGAGGTGCCGGTTCTGGGGGTGCTGCTGCTGGTGGTGCTGGTCCTGGTGGTGCTGTTGCTGGAGGTTCTGGAGCTGCTAGAGGTACTAGTCCTGGAGGTGCTGGCGCTGGAGGTTCTGGAGCTGCAGGAGGTGCTGGAGCCACTGGTGCTGGTGGCACTGCACAGCCGCGACTGCTCTTTGCTCCGCCGTCGCCTTCATCTCTGCCACCACCTGACTCCGTGCTTCGCCAGGTTCTTAGCCTCCCGTCTTCTACTAGTCTTCCGTTACAGCCTGTCTCACCGCTGCCTGCTCCTTCTCCTTACACTGAGCAGACAGGAGGTCTTACTGAGCGTCGTGAGCCTGCGTCTCGACCTGTCTCGCCTGTTCGCACTGTCCGCGCTGGTCGTACTGGTCGTCGTGTTCCTCGTGAGCGTCCGCCGGCTGTCCCCGTTACACACCTCATGGCCCTGCGTCCTTCCTCTGCTCCGCAGCGTGTTCCCCTGCCGTCCCCTCCTGCGTCTTCCCTGCCTGCCGTTCCAGACCCTGAGTTTGACAGCGCTCGTGATGCTCACCCTACTGTCACGCGTCTGCTAACCACTGTTGTCACTGACCCACCGTTTGAGTCTGCTGCTGCGTCTGCCTTAGTCGCTGAGCTTGTTGACTTTGCTGCTGCCTGTCGTCTAGACTACGCCGCTAGTCTTGTTGCTGAGTCTGAGTCTGTCTGTCCTCCGTCCGTCGGGCGTGAGTGTGCTCTTGGCACGGACGTCCTTGAGGACAGGCACGAGGACCTTGAGTGTCTTGCAGCCGCTGCGCCTCATCTCGTGTCCATGCTGCTTGCCCCTGAGGGAGACCCGGATGCTCCAGACATCCCAACCCCGCGCTCTTACGCTGAGGCGATCACGGGTGAGTACTCCTCTCAGTGGCAGACAGCCATGGACGCAGAGATGGCATCATGGAAGTCCACAGGCACTTACGTTGACGAGGTTCCCCCTCCTGGGGCGAACATCGTCAGTGGCATGTGGATTTTCAGGGTGAAGCGGCCGCCAGGTTCTCCGGCTGTCTTCAAGGCTCGTTACGTTGCTCGAGGTTTCAGTCAGCGAGAGGGAGTTGACTTCTTCCAGACCTTCTCCCCCACCCCGAAGATGACCACTCTTCGAGTGTTGCTGCACGTTGCCGCTCAGCGTGACTACGAGCTTCACTCTCTTGACTTCAGCACTGCTTTCTTGCAGGGCAGCCTGCACGAGGAGATCTGGCTGCGCCGCCCGCCTGGCTTCACTGGGTCGTTCCCTCATGGTACCCAGTGGAGCCTCTGGCGGCCGGTCTATAGTCTCCGTCAGGCGCCACGTGAGTGGCACGACACACTGAGGACGACACTTGCGGCTCTTGGGTTTGCTCCGTCGACTGCTGACCCGTCGCTGTTTCTGCGCACCGACACTTCACTGCCGCCGTTCTACATCCTCGTGTACGTCGACGACTTGGTCTTTGCCACTGCTGACACTGAGGCTCTCGCCCTGGTGAAGTCGGAGCTGCAGAAGAGACACACGTGCACAGACCTGGGTGAGCTGCGCACTACCTTGGCTTGCAGATCACCTGGGACAGAGCACGCCGCACCATCACACTGACTCAGTCACACATGGTGCAGCAGGTCCTTCAGCGCTTCGGTTTCACCTGGTCCTCAGCACAGCACACTCCTCTGGCTACATGTCACTTGCTCTCAGCTCCACCTTCGGACGAGTCCGTAGAGCCGAGTGGTCCTTACCCAGAGCTAGTGGGCTGCCTCATGTACCTGATGACCTGCACTCGTCCTGACCTTGCGTACCCTCTTGGCCTTCTGGCTCGCTACGTGGCTCCTGGTCGGCACCGAAAGGTGCACATGGATGCTGCTAAGAGGGTACTACGCTACTTGTGCAGTACATCGGGCATGGGGCTCATGCTTGGAGGACGGAGCGACGTTGTCCTCACCGGGCACTCAGACGCTTCTTGGGTTGACGACCTAGCTACGCAGCGGTCGTCACAGGGTTACACGTTCAGCCTTGGCTCTGGTTCAGTTTCTTGGCGTTCTACACGCTCGTCTTCTGTTCTCAGCTCCAGTTGTGAGGCTGAGATCTACGCCACAGCGATGGCTGCACAGGAGTTGCGCTGGCTCATCTACCTGCTGACCGACTTGGGAGGGCGGCCTCGTTCTCCTCCAGTGCTGTACGTCGACAGCAAGGCTGCCATTGCCTTGTGTCAGGAGCACAGACTGGAGCACAGAACGAAGCACATCGCTCTGCGTTACTTCTTGGCTCGAGAGTTGCAGCAGCGTGGTCAGCTTCGTCTTGCTCACGTGGCCACTCGGACCAACACTGCTAATATATTCACCAAGGCACTTCCGTTTGGTGATCATCAGAGTTTCTGCACTTTGTTAGGCCTTGTGCCCACTTTTCCTCACTTGCTGTAGACTTTGCTTGTACTGTGATCTATATATATACCTGCATGCTTGCTCTGCTAGGTGGAGATCACTGTACTGTTGTTGTTGCATATATACCTCTGCATGTGAACTGGCCTTGTGGCCCTTTGCTTGTGCTCAGTGTGTGTGGTGACGTTGTGATCCACCCTGAGCTTGCTTTGCTTCTCTTGACTGGTCTTGTGACCCCTTGCTCTCCCCCCACTTTGCCTATGGGGGTGTGTCAAATTATATGCCTATGTCATAATAGAATGTAGGCTTTAGTGGGGTAGCTAATGTAGGGTATAGTTTTTGTTACTTGTACCCAACTTTCTTGATAGTGCAATCACCTTTCCCTTTACTCTCGACAATGAGCTTGGCTTCCGATCGCTCTACCAGTTCGAATCATCACCATCTTCTCACGTCGACACCGTTCAGCCAGGCCTGGATCGTATGGTCGGCTCGCGGAGCTTCAGAACCTCGACCGTCGGAGTTTCTGCAACGTAGCGATTCAGCTTCGCTTGTCGTCGTTTTTTACGTCAGATACAACGACCATCCTTATCACGCTCTCGTACCAGCGACTTGATTCCGTCAATGTACTTGACCTTCAGTTTATTTCGACTCCGATTCTGACAATGGTGCTCGTTGTTCGATCATGCGCAGGACGCCATGGTAAGCATCGATCCTGTACTAATATTTGTCTTTCTCCAGTTCTGTCTGCAGGTGCCTTCATGGTGTCTGTGGATGTGGCGACGTGGCCAGTGCACGAGATGGGGGTGAAGCTTTGAGTATTGGCTGGGGACTCGATTCCGGGCCAAACCGGACTGGTTCTGTCCCCTCCCGCCCCCGCCAAGTGACAAAGCTGTCTGGCCAGCAGAGATGTCATTTGGTGGAGGTGGGGGAGAACAGAGCCAGTTTCTAGTAGGGCACCCGCACGTCTTGGTCCTGGCATTGCTCAAGGCCCACCATCCCTCTCTGCCTGTCCGGTGCACTACCAGTCCATGCCGGGGTGGGCATCCTGTCACTGAAGCCAGTCCACTTTCACCGGCTAGCTTGACTTCCTGTCTAGAAGTAGTTGATAAGATTAGACACAATCAACTACAGTGTTTTGAGTGTATCTCAGATATTATGTGATTGTAGTAATGCTGATCTAGGTAGAGCATAGAGTGCCTTGCAATTTATAAATACTGGAGCAGTAGTTTATGTTACTGTTTCATATATTGTTTGTTTCTGAACCTAAGATATGTATGAGATTGCCTTGAATCGTACCAATGTAAGATTAACTCGTACAGTGCACAGAGTGCCTTGCAAATTTGGAAATGATGGACTAGTAGTTAGTAATATTCTTACATACGGTATATTGGTTGTTTCTGAACCCAAATATTGAGCCGAGGTCGGTTCGATGCGGCAAGGAAGATTGAAGTTCGGTTCGGTTGGAAGAAAGACCACCCTCTTTCATTGGCGTGATGAGAAATCAGTTGAGCAAGAGCAAGCAGCAGCAAGGAAATCTCGTTATTCCATTCCCAAGGCGAGAACGTGAAAGCCGAGGTCAACTCGGCTCGCGTCGCGTCGCTATAGTCGAAGCCGTAGCGGAGGAAATGTCGACGCTCCTGTCCCATCGCACTGCAGAGTGCATCGATGCCATGACGACTTCGGATCGCGTGGTACAGCCAGCCATTGCCTGCTGCTCCGCGGGATCTGCATCTGCGCGTTCCAGACGAGAGGATCCGCCTGGGCGAGCGCGATCGGTACAATCGGAGCCGTTCATCCATTCTCGCATTTCGGAGCGCGTCCGTCCTTGAATCGCGCAGCGTTATAAACGAAAGTCATGTTTCGTGGTCGCGCGATAGCGGAGAGAGAGGGGGATGGGAAGCGCTGTCGTGTGTATCGCTTCCACCGATTTCCAGCAGCACAGCATGCTTTCCTTGGTGTTCACGGTTCCGCACTTGACGCGAGTTACGCAGTTTCCGCACTGTACTGCTCGACCAACAGGATAACGGGGTGGAGCATCGAGTGTCAGCGTCATTCACTGCCCACGCCATTTACTCCGCGCCGATTCATTTCGCGCTCCTCGCCGTCGCCTGCTCCGAGGACGCCTGCGATGAACGACGAGGCGTGCGACGACGCGGGAACGTCGCTTCTGTCGCACGAGAGCGAGCCCGAGTGGGCGCAAGTGGCGGGGATGGCGAGCGACCTCGTCGTCACCGTCGGCCAGCGCGCCTTCCACGCGCACCAGTACCCGCTGTACGCGTTAGTAGCCTTGCTTCGTTCCCAGTACGCGTTACTAGCGTTACGCCATTCTGTACGCTTCACGGTTCAGATGCTCCCAGCTCTTTCTCCTTTCTCCTCCGCTCCCCCCACCCTTCCCTCTCGTTAGCTTCTCTCTATCGACAGTGATTGCGAACACAGCAGCAGCATCGAACACAGCACCGGCCCTCCTTCCTCCTCCCTCCCCCTCCCCCTCCGGCCCCCACCTCCCAGCTTCTCCCTGTCAACGGTGATAGCGAACACGGCAGCAGCAGTGGACGAGGGGAGGGCACCGGGCCCATACAAGCGAATCTCTCGTTCCTCCCTGGCGCCGCGCTCTCCTTCGTCCCCATCGCCTGCCACGGCCGCCCCTGCCGCCTCTCGCCCCACTCCGTGCTGCTCGTGCGCTCTGCAGGTACTCATGCCCACTGGAGGCGGGAGTGGGAGGGTTGGGGAGCGGTTGAGTCTGGTGATAGCCTTGCTCTTACGATTGTGTGCGCACTGAACAGTGTTACACCGCATTGCAATGCTTTTACCCCGTCCCTTTCTTCTCACCCCCCTTGTTCTTACCCCTCCTCTTCTCACCCCCCTCCTTGTCACTCCCGCCCACCCCTCCCCCCTCCCCCTCTCCCCCTGGCAGCATCACTGCTAGAGATGAGCGCGTGTGGGCCCAGCCCAGCCATGCGCTGCTGCTGCCGCAGCTAGCCTCGCAGCGCCGCCACCACTTCCTGCAGCACTGCCCGCACTTTCCGGACGTGCTCTCATCGTATGTCTGAATCGCAGGGATGAAGGGGCAGGAAGGAGAAGGGAGGGGTGGGGGGTAAGAGGGGAGGCGAGGGGAGGGGAGGGGAAGGGAGGGCATGGGATGGGATGAGATATGGAATGTTGATTCAGTATAACGCCCTAATTGTTGCTCGTCTGTCCCTTGCACATGCGTCCTCCTCATCATCTCCTCATCTCCTTTCTCATGTGGGTCATCGACTCCCCTCCCACCGTCTCTTGCATGCATTCCCGCACATCGCTTCCTCTCCTCTCTTGGCCCCACTCGCTGGCCCCCACCCACTCAAATCTAATCTAGTCATCTCTTGTCCGACTCTCCCCTACTCCCCCTCTTCCTCTCTCCATTAGCCTACCGTTCTGTTTCATTTCGCATTCACGTTCAGGCCATGTGTCTCTCACCCCACCCTCCTCCTTTCCCCGCACCCCCTCAACACATTGCAGGCAGGACATATAGCATCTCCCTCCCCTCCTGCTCGCTATTCCTATTTCCCAATCACACCTCCACTTTCTTCCTCTCTCTGTCTCTGTTGTTGGGCTGAAAAGGCCCTTAGGATCTTTGCAGGGGTGAACTCTGGGTAGAGTTGGTGTAGTAGCGGAAGCGTTAATTAAAGAGTTGTGAACCACCTTGCGCTAGTATGTGAGGGCAAAGTAAGTTGATTAAAACAAAGAGATACAAGATTATATAAGAGTACAAGGAATATGAAAGGATACGGTTATAACTGTTTTACTTGTTGCTGTTGCGGTTCGATACAGTGACGACTCGGGCAACTGCTCTGTAGCGAGTCAGTTGTGTGTCCTTGCTGTCGCGCTGTACTTGTCAGGTGAAAGGTCGCTGACCTTTGACTTTCGCGTAACCTCCAGCGGTTACTTCAACCTCCGAGGGTTGACTCGCTGGTGCCTCGATATGCTTTGCTTCGCTTGTGCCTTAGTGTTTCGACACGACAGAAGCGCTTAGGACCGATTGTTTCCAACATCTGTCCCTGTCCCTCTCCGGTTTTCAGCTGATCTGGGGCACTGTTGTATTGTGCAGTAAAAATACCGTATGTTATAATTGTTCACAAATTGCCATTATCAGCATAGCAAGATACAAAATTCCGACATCCGCAGCGTTGTCCTGGACCACATCTAGATTCCACGGGAAGGGTGGATTCGCGCAGAACGGTAGCTTCGCTTCGCTCTATCATTATTGTTTCGGAACACGCTTTACATTTGTGGATTCTGCCATTGTACACAAGTGCTACTCGTCGGGATGCTGCTGACGGACCAGCCTCATTGGTCTCACATCACAAGCTAGCCACAAACATCAACTACACATGCAATTGTTTTTTAACGAAACAAGCGAGCCAATGTACAAAGTCATGATCACACTTTGTAACAAAACACTTTCAACCATCTACTTTCAGCCATAGATGGATCCCTTAGTAGCTCGAGTCAGACGTCGGCTTGTGCCGTAACCTTGGTATTCATTAAGCCTCTTCACATTGCAGCCGCGCCAGCAGAGTGGGATGAGGATGACGAGAGGGACCCAACATAATTGGGAATGGGCCCACACCGCAAGGCATCAAAATCGGCCCGGACAAACGCAGGCACCGGCATGGAGCACACTGCACTGTGGCAGTTGCTCGCACTTCCCGCCGTGCCACTGCTGCTACCGCGGTTACCACCAGCATAGGGCTTCGCATCCGCAGCTTCGCTGACTGTCAACTGCCGATGGTGCTGCTGCTGACCTTGCTGCTCAAGCAGCTTTTTCAGACCTTTAACCCTGCTTTCTCCCACCTCCCCATTATCCACCTCTGCAGCAGCAGTCCAGCTACTGGATGTCTTACGACAGCCAGAAGCACTCAAGCCACACCATAGGCACTCGTACTGCCACCCCTCTATCGCCTCCTCCCACTCCCCATCCTCCCGTGCCGCTGCACTGTTCTCTTCGATCCCTTCCCCCCTCAGCCCTCCTATTCTTCCCCCTGCTTTCCGCTCCGCTCCTCCCTCCTCCAGCTCATTCTCCCCTGCTGCTACGACCATGAGGGGGCGGGCACAACTGGGGCAGGTGGGAGCTGCCCCTCCCGACCCAAAGCAAGGGCTCCAGGAAGCAGCGAGCAAGGGGAGGAAGGGTGGCGTGGTGGGAGCAGGAGACGTGGCACCGCCGCCAGTACCGTTACTCCTACCTGTGTCGAGATGAAGCGCCTCACCCAACCCCACGGCATAATTGTGTGTGGAGATAGCACTGGCTTCGATAGAATCGGCAGCAGCACCTGAAGCGCCTGAAGCATCAGGAGCAGCCCCAGAAGACCTGGGTTCAGAGGAGACACTGCGCGACCTGCGAGCACCGGTCGGCAGGGCGAGGCGCAACCCACCTGCAGCAGCCGCTGCCGCCGCCGCTGCTGCCGCAGTTGCCGCAGAAGCTAGCGACGGGAACCGAGAAGAAGCAGCCATGCGCGACCGAACAGCAGCAGCAGCCGATGCGGACGCAGCAGACCCCCCCGCACCCGCTGCAGTGAAGGCGGCAGCAGCAGCAGCCGACGCCGCTTCTTGACACACGGCTGCTAGCATTGCCTCTTGGGACTGCTGCAGGTTTGCCAGGTTCCTGCGGAGACTCGCGTTCTCCCGCTCTGCCTCGTCCCTGCGCCTCTCAGCCTCTGCTCGCCTGCTCTCGCTCTCCTGCAATGCCTCCTGCAACTGCTGCATTCCAAGCTGTGACTTCTCCACTGCACCCTGCAGTGCTGCACACTCCTGCAGGGCATCAGGGGAGGCGCAGAAGTACGGGCAGGAGAGAAGCAGGAGAGCGAGAGAAAATTCGAAGGGAAAGAGTGAGTAAAAAGGCCAGGGCTACAGCAAAGGATGCCAGACACATGACAGGAGCATCACCAAAGCATTACAGAAGCAGCACAGGAGCATTATGGAACCATGAAACAACCGGGAGAGAAACGCGGCAGGCACAAGCAAACGCATACCGCTTCAATGAGTCGGTGCGAGTGGTAGAGGCGCCGAATCTCAGCAGAAACGGAGTCCCAATGCACTGGCTCTCCCCGAGCCACCCACCCCTCCATCCGCTCCTGCTGCTGCTGTTGCTGCGTTTGCTGATGGTGCTGGTGCTGGTGCTGGTGATGATGATGCTGGTGCGTGCGCTGTAACTGGTGGTTGTGCTGGCGGTGGTGATTCGCACTGGAGTGGAGCACAGCAGCATGGCAACTGGAGGATAGCAGAGAAACCGTTGCTGCGGCCGCTGCTGCTGCTCCACCCGCCCCCCTTCCGTCCAGCAGGAGTGAAGACGCCATGTGTTCGCTCCCACTGACAGACTCTACTTTGCCAGCTCCACCCCCACGGGTAGCAGCAGCAGTAGCCGCAGCAGCAACAGGAGGAGGAAGGGAAGCAAGAGGGGAGGAGGAAGAGAGGAGGGAGCGGAGGGGGGGAACAGCAGCAGGGCAGCACCAGCGGAGATAGAGCTCAGGCAGGAGAACAGGGGCGAGCGAGGCAGCAGGCGGGAGGAGAATGGCGGGCGATGGAGGGGATGGGGGGAAGAGAGCCATGTGGCGTATTTGAACAGGAGGGCAGGACGCAGGGCGGATAGCTGCCTGGGTGCAGGTGCTAGTGCTGCAGCTCGTGCTGCTTGTGGCTGTGCAGACAGCAGCGGTAGCAGCAGCAGCAGCAGCAGGAGCAGCGGGAGCAGCAGGAAGAGCAGCAGAAGCCGGAGGAGCAGTGGCCGCGAAGATGGAAGAGGGAGAGTAGAGGGGGTTGACATGCGGGTGGCTCAGCGGACAGCAAGGAGCAGCAGCCGCTTCACCAGATGCTCCCATCTGCCTTCCCCTGCCTGCATCCCCAGCAGCAGCAGCAGTAGAGGAGGAGGACAGAGAGGAGGAGGGAGAAGAGGGGTCCCTCAGGCGTCTTAGGTGTTCCCAGACACATAAAGGGGGAACGGATGCGGGCGAGTGGTTGGCGTGGGAGAGCGGGAAGGCGTGGGGGCGGGTGGAGGAGTGGTAGGTGCGTGCGAGCGAGCGCTCCTTGTCGTTGTTGCAGAGGAAGTTGGCAAAGCGGCACGAGAGCACAGAGTCCAGGAGATCCACTAGAAACGCCTGCACATGGTGGCATGGGTGGTTGCATGGTTGGTGGCATGAAGGGGAGGAAGGGGGAGACGACTTTTGATTCGACTGAAAAGGCAAAGCGGCATGAGAGTACAGAGTCCAGGAGATCCACTACGAACATCTGCACATGGTGGCATGAGCGGGAGAGGATAGAACATGGGGTGAATATAAATTGGAAGGTATGAGGGCGAGGGAGAAGGGCCGGAGGGTGCACGCGAGGGGTGCACGCGAGGGGTGCACCCCGCATGGCAGAGGCATACAGCGTTCCTAAGAGATGTTGGGAGAGCGTACCGTGGAGAATTCAAAGGCACGAGGGAAGAGGCGCAGCAGCTGCGCCACGGCATCAATCCACTGCACACACACGACAACACACAGGCGGAAGAGGAAAGCACGCAGAGGAAAAGAGCAATCTGATGGCCAAAAAAAAACTCCCTCGGCTATGCCCTGAGAGGCAAGCACGTAGCAGGCGTGTGGCTGGTGTGTGGCCTGAGTGTGTCCACTAAGTGGCCTCTGTGTGTGTCCACTAAGTGGCCTCTGTGTGTGTCCACTAAGTGGCCTCTGTGTGTGTCCACTAAGTGGCCTCTGTGTGTGTCCACTAAGTGGCCTCTGTGTGTGTCCACTAAGTGGCCTCTGTGTGTGTCCACTAAGTGGCCTCTGTGTGTGTCCACTAAGTGGCCTCTGTGTGTGTCCACTAAGTGGCCTCTGTGTGTGTCCACTAAGTGGCCTCTGTGTGTGTCCACTAAGTGGCCTCTGTGTGTGTCCACTAAGTGGCCTCTGTGTGTGTCCACTAAGTGGCCTCTGTGTGTGTCCACTAAGTGGCCTCTGTGTGTGTCCACTAAGTGGCCTCTGTGTGTGTCCACTAAGTGGCCTCTGTGTGTGTCCACTAAGTGGCCTCTGTGTGTGTCCACTAAGTGGCCTCTGTGTGTGTCCACTAAGTGGCCTCTGTGTGTGTCCACTAAGTGGCCTCTGTGTGTGTCCACTAAGTGGCCTCTGTGTGTGTCCACTAAGTGGCCTCTGTGTGTGTCCACTAAGTGGCCTCTGTGTGTGTCCACTAAGTGGCCTCTGTGTGTGTCCACTAAGTGGCCTCTGTGTGTGTCCACTAAGTGGCCTCTGTGTGTGTCCACTAAGTGGCCTCTGTGTGTGTCCACTAAGTGGCCTCTGTGTGTGTCCACTAAGTGGCCTCTGTGTGTGTCCACTAAGTGGCCTCTGTGTGTGTCCACTAAGTGGCCTCTGTGTGTGTCCACTAAGTGGCCTCTGTGTGTGTCCACTAAGTGGCCTCTGTGTGTGTCCACTAAGTGGCCTCTGTGTGTGTCCACTAAGTGGCCTCTGTGTGTGTCCACTAAGTGGCCTCTGTGTGTGTCCACTAAGTGGCCTCTGTGTGTGTCCACTAAGTGGCCTCTGTGTGTGTCCACTAAGTGGCCTCTGTGTGTGTCCACTAAGTGGCCTCTGTGTGTGTCCACTAAGTGGCCTCTGTGTGTGTCCACTAAGTGGCCTCTGTGTGTGTCCACTAAGTGGCCTCTGTGTGTGTCCACTAAGTGGCCTCTGTGTGTGTCCACTAAGTGGCCTCTGTGTGTGTCCACTAAGTGGCCTCTGTGTGTGTCCACTAAGTGGCCTCTGTGTGTGTCCACTAAGTGGCCTCTGTGTGTGTCCACTAAGTGGCCTCTGTGTGTGTCCACTAAGTGGCCTCTGTGTGTGTCCACTAAGTGGCCTCTGTGTGTGTCCACTAAGTGGCCTCTGTGTGTGTCCACTAAGTGGCCTTTGTGTGTGTCCACTAAGTGGCCTCTGTGTGTGTCCACTAAGTGGCCTCTGTGTGTGTCCACTAAGTGGCCTCTGTGTGTGTCCACTAAGTGGCCTCTGTGTGTGTCCACTAAGTGGCCTCTGTGTGTGTCCACTAAGTGGCCTCTGTGTGTGTCCACTAAGTGGCCTCTGTGTGTGACCTGTGTTCATTCCATGAGAGGAGAGCACAGCGTAGCACATGGTCTCACCTGGAAGAACACGGGCGACTGGTTGTTGCTGCTGTTGGCTTGGAAGGTCGACCCTGCCACACTGCTGCTCGCCACAGGGAACCCCGACGCTGATAGTGACGACAGGGATGCACCTGCATATCCCGCTGTACCAGCAGCACCAGCAGCACTGGCAGCCACGCCGCCAGCAGGAGCAGAAGCAGCAGCAGCAGATGCAGCTGCAGCAGCTGCAACCGCACCCGCAGAACTATTTACACCATGACCGGGAGCACCGCACCCAGCAGCACCACACCCAACACCTACTCCACCAGCGATAGCACCAGGGCTCGCAGCAGCAGCGGCAGCGAGGGAGAGAGCGGGGTTGGTACGAGAGGAGGAGGAGGAGGCAGTGGGGGGTTCTGCTGGCACGCCCAGGCGGTCTGCAAAGGGATGGCCAAAGGCCGCCCAGTGCGTCTCCACTAGCGACTGCATGGCAGAGGGGAGAGGGTGAGAGTGGGGTTAGGGAAGATGTAGGGAACCCATGAAGCAGAGGATAGACGGACAAGGATACAACAGAGAGAAGAGTCAATCGGGGGAGAGGAAACGAGTGAGAGCAGGTGGTAGGGTTATGGGGCAGCAGGGCAGTAGGGTGATAGCTTGAGAGTGCAGCAGGGCAGCAGGGTGATAGGGTGAGAGTGCAGCAGGGCGGTAGGGCGGCAGGGGATCAAACGATAGGTTGACAGGATGATATGGTAAAGTGTAGGGGGGCGGTACCTGGAAGCCTTGGAAGGTGAGGTAGTAGGGATCCAGCAGCAGCATGGTGAGGGTTAAGTGAACTCCATACGAGGTGACTTGTGACTTGTGAGTGGAGTCAAGGGCGGTACCTGGAAGCCTTGGAAAGTGCGGTAGTAGGGGTCCAGCAGCAGCATGGCCAGTGACACGAGCGACGGCGTGCGGTCCCACCCATCACTGCACCATACGCACCAGCAGCAAGGTGTGGTTACGGGAACAGGGCAGGGGCGGGACGGGGAACAGGTGAGGCGGGCAATAGATGGAAGCAGCAGCAATGGCACAACCAACGCCCTTCATCTCACCCTTCCACCCACACCCCCCCTCTTTCCTCCCCCCCTCCCCCTTCCCACCCTTCCCTCCCTCCGCTCCCCTCCCTCCTTAGCTACACCCTCCGCCCTCCCTTGTTTCCCGGCGTCACCTGCAGTGGACAAGCACGGAGTTGCCCTGCAGGGCGATCTGCGCAGCGATGAAGACGGCACCGGAGAGCAGCGAGTGGCAGTGCTGCAGCCAGCACGAGTCCACCAGCGCCGCCACCACCTGCGACGTGCCACTCACCGACCCGCCTGTCCACCCGCCCGTGCCACTCCTCTGCTCGGGTTGGGAGGATGCATGGGGGTTGGGATGAGATCGCATGTAGGGTGCACGCACATGCACATACACACAGGCATGTGACGAGGGAAAACTCAGCATAAGAGGAGAATTCGGAAGCAAAACATAGAGAGGTATTGGAGTGGGAAAGGAATGGACGACGCAGCAAGTCAAAGAGCAGTGCATGACGCAGGAAACGGGAGGGAGAGAAAATGGGGTCAGAGGGGCGCGCGCGGGGAGGTGGGGCGGGCGGGGTGGTGAAGGGGGCGGGGGGAGGGAAGGGGAAGGGTGGTGGTAAGCTAGTAGCAGTGGTGGTGTGGTGGTGGTGAGGTGTGTGGGGCACTGACGAGCAGGGAGGAGGAGCCATCGGAGCAGGCAGAGCCATGGGTGTCAAGGTACTCTCTCAGACGGTTCATGCTGTCGCGCACTGCATGTATGTTGTCTATTCCCAGATACACCACCTGCCACCCACCATGCACGCATGCACGCACGCACATACGTGCCCGCACATGCATGCAAAGCAATGCACCCACACACCCAACCCTCCCTTCCCCCAAACCCCTCTCCCCGCAACCCACACCCACACACACACGAAAGCACACCCATAGCCACTCCCACACAAAGCCACACAGTGCACAAGCCATGAGGTGACCAAAGGTGAGTGCACAATAGCAAGCAATCGCATGAGCATGGCAGTAAACAATGGAGCATGCAGTCTCTGATAAACCTCGAGTGCATCGCCGGACGATGCGCCATGCCTCAGACGCAACCATGAAGCAAGCAGTGCAGCATGCACGAAGCTTTTTGAGGCGCCTCAAATTTAGACAGTTCAGCATGCATGCACGAAGCTGACGACAAAAGGCTGGTAGTCAAAACGACTGAAACGGTGCTTGTGGCCGGAGGAAGGGGGGAGGGAAAGGACTCCTTGAGTACAAAGAAGGGGGTGGAGGAAGGATTGCGTGAAGAGCAGCTGTTTAGCAAGCACACACCTCTGTGCCGCGATAGTTGGCAGATGACTCATAGCCGCCTCCCATGGCCCCATTGGCTATGGCATTCTTGCGCGGCCGTGCATCCGCCACCACCAGACGCCTGCTCATGCATGGTGTGGCATGGCATGGCATGGCATGGACATGGTATGGCACGGCAAGACAAGGCATCGTGCGGCATGGCATGGCACGGCATGGCATGACATGGCACGGTATGGCACATGGATGCAAAGCGGGACAGAAATGACGAACACGCAATATGGAAGGATGAGGACACAGCAGAGCAGGGCAGTTAGATAGCACGGTCCTACACACAGAATCACGTTGACCCATGCAACAAGCAGCACAGGCACACCAGCGTTCACCTCCCCCCAATGGCATGGCATGATGAACCCATCGCACCCACCCGCCCCCAGCACCCAGCGCAAGCCCCAGGCAGGCCCCAGTAGGAGCAGCACGCACCTGAAGGAGTCCCCAGGGAGAGCAGGGCCGGCTAGTGCTGCAACCAGACGCTCATCCGCATCACTGCGTGCAGATTCAGATGCAGTGAGGGGGGAGAGATGGGACGCACGAGGAGAGGAGGATCAAAGAGAGAAAACGCTTATGTATCATGTGTGGGGCGACAGGGTGTGTGTGCCGATAAGCATTAGACGTGCGGTGCGGAGGCATGGGAAGCGAGAGCAGTGGAGCAGCTATACCTTCTATTACTGGAAAGGATGCCGACCAGGGGTTGTGCTGCTCTGCTGAGCACAGCACCGTTGCCTGGGGGATTGAGAACAGCAGAGTAGGGCAAGGGCGGTGAGCAAGCAAGGGGAGTGGGAGAATGAGCAAGAAGCAGGATTGAGGGTAACAATAGGATGCGACAACAAGAGGGCGGCGTAGATGAGAAGCGGGGCGGGGAGGGGGGGGATGCGAGGAGAGACAGTTGTGGTGTGAAGGTGGAGAAGGGAGGGTGGGTGGAATGACTCATTCATGTGCAGACACAGCTGACGAAACTCACCTCACACATGTGTATGTCCATGTGCGAGTTTCATGCGCACGAAACTCACACATACACGCATGAATTCGTGCATGCGCTGCACTGCCCTGCACGCACCTGGGTGCTGCCAGCACATGACAGGGAAGCGGCCCCTGGCTCGAAAGGCAGCAGATGCCATGGCGTCGTCGTCACTGCCAACGGCGGACAGGGGAGAGGGGGGACGGGGATGGGGATGAGGGGGGCACACAGGAAGGCGACACATGGCACCGGTGGAAAGGACGGAGTAAGCGCATGAGTGTGTGCACACACGGTGAACACATACACGCACGTGCTGCGAAAGTTGAAGAGGAATAGGCGAGTATTAGGGGGAAGGGGGGGGGGGGAGGGGGGGGGGGGAAGAAAGAATCTGAGGATATACCTGATGGGGGAGGGTTGGGAAAGGAGGGGGCGAACCTAATGCAGGAGGGCAGGAGCAGGCGCTGTGGGTAGGAGGAGCAGGCAGCATAGGCGGCGTTGACTCGGCTGATCTGCCAGAGGCGGCGCCAGTGCTCTGGCAGCATGGCCAGCACTCGCATGCACTCCGCTGTCACCACCCCCACCGCCTGCATAGAGGCGCCACCTGCAGTGGCTGCCACTGCTGTTGCTGCTGCTGCTGCTGCTGCTGCTGCTGCTGCTGCTGCTGCTGCTGCTGCTGCTGCTGCTGCTGCTGCTGCTGCTGCTGCTGCTGCTGCTGCTGCTGCTGCTGCTGCTGCTGCTGCTGCTGCTGCTGCTGCTGCTGCTGCTGCAGGAGGAGATGGTAGTGGGGGAGTGAAGGCGCGAGGAGGAGTGGAAGCGCCTGCACCATGTGAAGCCTGTGCCGTGGGTGATAAGGCACCCTCCTCGATGCTGCCTGCGCTGCTGCTGTTGCTGCTGCTGCCACATCTGCTTGTGCTGGCAGTGGGCGTGGCGAGGGCAGCAAGGGGCGCGTGGAAGACTGGCAGCTCGAGCAGCGAGCGCGGCAGCAGGTGAATGATGGTGTCAAACACAGGCGGTGCCTGCCAGCCACCAACCACACACACACACACACACACACACACAGAACAGCACAGTGCACAGCACATGGACGCACAGACGATGCATACGGCATGGAGCGCAGCAATTGGGACGACTTATTCATGGCTGCTGGTCAGGACAAATCAGGGCAAAAAACGGGAAAGAGAGAGGTGCAAGGCGTAGAGGAAACGGAGGGGACCTGAGAAAGGACGAGGGCAGCCAGGACTACAAAGAGAACGCGAAGGGTCTGAAAAGGGCAACTGTACACGCACATGCATGCAAGGGCACACGCGCGCGCACACGCAACCACACACACACACCTGTGCGCAGATGCGAGGAGGCAGAGCGTACACCAGCACTCGAGCGTCCTTGGCTGCTCACAGAAACATGAAACGCATCGATAGATACATACAGCAACTCTTAGGGACGTCACCTCACTGCTGCTGTCAATCACAAAGCGCTCAAATCACAAACGAAGCAAACGGTGGAAGCACACAACGAAGCTACAAATAGCAGCACAGCAGCAGCACTTACTGTGCACCTGCAGCAGATGGTCCCTGCTGTTAGCCAGTCGCCCTGGAGGCTGCACATGGGATATGACACATGCACGCACACAGAGCGCCACACAACCCAGAATACCACGGTCAGGGTTCACTCTTAAGCACTGGGATACTAGAGCCGATTGGAAGAGCAGGCGACGTGGGGTAGGGGTCGGGTGTGTGGAGAAGCAGGGATCCTGTATAAGGTACCACTGGGCTAACAACGCGAATAGCTTTCCAACATAGCCAGCCCCCTAGTCCAGTGGGCGAGCGAGTGAAGGCACGGCCCGTGGGCGTGGTTCAGCAGGGGACACCCGGTCACCCGGTGACACACACCAGCTTGGCAACGCGGTCGATGACTGGGAAGTACACTGAGCCCAGGGGATGCGGTGACAGCGCACACGGCGGGGACGCGGGGATAGTAGGGGATGGGTGTACGGCGGGAGAGGGCGAGGCGGAGAGGAAGAGGATGCGGAGGGAGGTGAGCAGGAGGTGTCCTGTGGTGTCCGTGTTGACCAGTAGCGTGTTAGGCTCCTGCCAGCACAACGCAAGGAGGTGAATCAAGTGGTGGAAAGAGAGGTGAGGGCAGCGGGAACAACTTTTCGACAAAATGGCTGGCTGGCGTTAATTTGCAAGTAAACTGTTGCAAGTTTGCTTGCCGTCACTGCTTACCTCCAGAACCACTTGCTCGGTGGGCAGCAGGAACGGCAGCGAGTCACGAACCGAGCTGCACCACGGAGACACGCACCTCGCACCACTCCCAACACCACCCCCGCCTCTGCTGCCACTGACGCCCGTGCTAATGCTGCTCCCCGCCACTACACCCGCGCCCCCAACCGCCCCAGCGTAACCAGCACCACCGTTCAACAGTGTATCAATTTCATTGATCCTGCCGCTGCTGCCGGCGCGAGCAGTGCCAATCTGCCCGGGAAAGTCCATACCATCAGCAACACTGCTGCCCAAACGGTTGTACACGTTCCAGGCTCCTGCACGGCCGTGAGAAGAACCGGGAACAGCAGACGCCATGCCCGTACCCGCACCCGCACCCGCACCCGCACCCGCAGCATCAAACGCGAAGGACACACTGTGAGACAACCCCCTGAACCCCACTTCGGCTGCACTCTCCGTTACTCCACGCCACGGAGCAGCCGAGAAGACGGAGCTTCGCCCGTCCATGCGGAACAAGCCTCCATCCCAACGGTTGCTGCTGCTGTTGCTGCTGCTGCTGACGCCGCCGCTGCTGCCGCTGGTGGGTTTGCCAGTGGTGGAGGAAACGGGATTCTGAGCGTTGACCCCACTGTGGGGATTAGTTACATGTGCGTCTCCCCCTGTAGCGTGCAAGAAGTCATGCGATGGGGAAGCTCCGCCAGGAATAGCACCAGACGCGCTGCTGTTGCTCCCCGTGCTGGCCGTGAGCTGCAAGAGGGAAGGAAATAGGAGAGGAGACGGCGGAGATCCATGAACGAGCGATGCACACACGGAGCATGGCCGAGAGAGACAGAGCTTGACAAAAGAAATTAACTAGATAACCTCATGCGTATAATCATGATGCGGCTCAGCTCTGGAGGCTTAAATAGCTCATGTGTCAACCTTAAACTAAAACTCAAGTTGAACGGAATCACAGCATAGCCGTCTTGACGTCATTGAGCCGTTAATAACTCGGAATCGGTTAGGTTTGACCTAGACTGACTGGGAAAAAAATCTCCATAGTCGCGCACACTGATTAAGGAGCGAAACGTGTCATTTAAGTCAATCAGGGCTAACTAAGAAAATACGGCAATAAGTTAAGACAGGGTGACAGGGAACTGACGTCATCGTTGACGTATGTCCAGCGATCCCCACCAAGAATGCTTCCCAGATCTACGAATCCGTTAGAGTCCTCTCCTGGGCTGTCCAACGCGTCCTTGGCTTCCATGCCCATATCTCGATATAATCTACTGCCGTCACCGACTAAGCGCTTAAACTAGTCGACCGCTGCAACGCAACGTAGCCTACAAGCGAGGGTCGTAGACAAGCGTGGGCGAAATAAAAGCAGTACACAGGCTGACTTTAGTTCCTACGGGGACAAGAGTAGTTCGTGCGACGATGCGTGAGAGTAGAAGTCGTCAACAGCACAGCCTTAGGAAGCGCACCCGAATCACAAAAATCCATGCTGCAGCTCTCCACTCTGCCTCGGTTGTTGTCAGTGAGGCGTAGTCAACGCAAGCTCATCAGAAAGGCAGGATGAGGAGGAGAGGACTGGTTAGGTGTTGCTTTCAAGAATTCTCCGGCGCTGTTCTCACTCGCATCCCAACCACGAATTCCAGCCAGAAGCTACCCCATTCTACTGCTCGCCATGTACAGAGACGAGGTGTGCGTCTGGGGATCCGAGCGGTGTATTGTCAAGGCAAAGAGATCTGACTTCACTTGCGTGCTGTACTTACGATCAGGAATGAGCCCTGAGATATATCGAAAGGGTTACAAGGGAACAATTGACGTCATTGGGAATTGGTGATTGGGAAAACTGACTGCCCGCCCAGAACGTGACTGCCCGTCTTCACGGTGAGATTCAGGGAACGTCAATGGGACGTCCATCTTGACGGAGATGGTTTGTTGGTTCGAGGGATGACGTCTGCTGATTGGCTGATGTGTGGTCGGAGTCTGATCGATGACCGAACCCGAAATCGCAGCTGGTGAACGCGGCAACGACCTTGCATGCCAACCATCTCAGCGCGCAGTGGAACTGATGCGATTTGGAGATAACTTTAGTGACAGCACCGTCTACCCATGTACATGGTTTTGGGACAAACACAACATCCTTAAGAAAATTGTGTGGTGTTGCATACACCACAAGCATTTCTGTTTGAGAGGTTGCGATTTATGATGTTGTGGACATGTCTGCGGTTCTTTTCAGGTCAGGTTGATTATAACTGAAAGGATTCTAAAATGATTCACGAATACTTTCTGTTCACTATGCATATGGATGGACGCAAAACAACATCATGATAAAACTACTAGCTCCGAAAATCACCGTTAGAAAACAAAACGGTCGTAACAAAGAGAAATGCTACAGTAGATTCTAATAAACTACATACATAGATACTTGACTACTATGTAAACCTACTTATATATTCAGAACATGTAAAGGAAAGCACGCTCTTCTTGTGTCATTGCGTGCCTGAAATGGCATCGATGGCCATATGGGCATTGCTTCCCCGAAGCAATCATGCGACATAGTTCCGTCTTGTAACGCGGATGCCGCAGAATAGGTCGCATTTCCTCCACTCCATGGGCGAACTGCAGTAAGGGGGCCAGCAAAAAGCAGCACAGGAGACGAGTACGGCATGTCAGGGAGAAGCGGGGGCGTAAACCACCCAGGGAGAGAAAAGGGTGAAGACACGAAAGTAGCACTCATCAGGATGACAAGTAAAGGTTGTGCAGTGCAAGCATACCTGGCATCTGTTGCCATAGGGTGAAGACACGAAAGTAGCACTCATCAGGATGACAAGTAAAGGTTGTGCAGTGCAAGCATACCTGGCATCTGTTGCCGTAGGGACAGTTGCCCGTCTGCTCCCACTTGTTGCAAAGCTCTGTCTTGTATGTCCCCTGATCATACACATCCAAGGCCGCAGCTGCTGCCGCCGCTGCTGCCGCAGCAGCCGCAGCCGCTGTCCCTCCTCCTCCACCCATGCCTGACGTGGCACCTTCGCTCCTCTCCTTAACACCATCCCTCCCCCTGCCTCGCTCGCTGGAGGTAGCAGCTCCACTTGCACTGAGTCGAGACTCCAACGAATGGTTCTCCTCCACCCTCCGCTCCCTGCGCCGGCTGCGAGACATCACACCTGTATCCGGCTCACCATCCACCCATGCACGGCTACCCGTTGTCTCCTCACGCCTTACTCCCCCTGCACCTGCACCTCCCCCCCCCCCTCCTCCTGTACCACCACCCAAGCGGGAAAATACGCTCCCCTTTGCCGCAGCACCAGCAGAGGCAGAGGCAGCAGGGGAGGGCACGCCTCGATGAGGCCGCAAGCTTCCTTCACCGCCCACAGTCACCATCCTGCCACTGCCGCTCGTGGCAACACCTTCCCTTGAGGGGAATGCTCCCGGCGACCCCAGTCTCGTGCCTGTACCCTCAACTCTACCCTTCAGTGTTCCAGCTGCTGTACTCGTGTCTCTCACTCCTCCTCCTGCCTGCCGCTCCTCCGTGCCTCTTTCCCTCGCCTGTGCACTGCCACCAGAAGTCGCTGGCTTCCCCGCCGCGGCTAATGCTGCACCCTCGACTGCTGCAGTACCCGACACACCTCTCTTCCTGCTGCTGCTGCTACTCAAGGCAGCAGCAGATGCTGATGCAGATGGCGAAGCTGATGCAGCTGCACCAGCGGGTGACTTCGGAGGAGGAGAGCTTAGCAATGCACCAACAGCAGCAGGAGCTGCAGCATTACTAGAAACAGCAGCAGCAGCAGCAGCTGGTGCTGCACTACCACCACCACCATTACCCGCTTTTCCGCCTGCACCTCTCCCCACGCCCTCTCCTGCTACCCCTCGTTCCCTCGTCGCCAGGGCAGAAACCGCAGCGCCAGCAGGCAGCTGGTTAGCTCTAACAGAGATGCTTTTAGGGAGGGGAAGAGGCAGCGGCTGAGCAGTAGCAGCAAGGGCTTCAGCACGCCCCACAGGCAGCAGAGCCGTGCCTTCAGACACAATAGAAGTCACTATCCCCTCCACTAGCTTAGGTGCAATGGAGGGCAAAGAAGGCGGCACCACAGGCGAGTGGATGGAGGTCGGCGCATTATTTGGTGTGGAGTTGCCAGGCTTACCAGCTCTCAGCCTTGAGGGAGCGTCCGGGACGGGCTTGGAAGCACGGGCATGCAGGGACGTAGCAGACTTGGGAGACATTTCAGGGGCAAGGCGAGGCGAGATGGAGTCAGAGGCAAGACTTGAGGGCTGCTGAGGAGAAGGGCGATTCAGGGAACCCGGGGCTAGTACCCCGGGTGTGATACCTGGCATAGCCTCGGAATGCACAGGTGGAGAGATTTTCCCTTGAGGCAGGAGTTTCCGTTCTCTCTCTCGTGATTCCTTGATGTCGGCCATTGGTGTGTCGAGATCGAGAGGCCTTCCTCCGATGTCGCTCCTGCTGTTGTTCCATGGCCTTGCACGTGCAGCAGCACCACCAGCAGTTGCAGAGCCTGTGTGAGCAGTCGCAGGGCTGATGGGAGCAGTCGCAGGGGCAGTGGAGCCTGCTTCAGCAGCACCTGAAGCACTGGCTACTGCAGCGGCAGTTGTAGCAGCCTCTGATGATTTAGCACCAGTACCAGACGGAACAGGAGGCGAGACAGCAGCGGCAAAGGTACGAGGTGGTGGAGAGATGGGAGTGGGACACGAGGAGAAGGCCTGGGCGGGCGTGAGTGGGATACTGGTGGTGACCAGGCGAGAGTGGAAGGGCATGGTGGGGCGGGGAGTGAGGGGAGTGGGACCCGGTGAGGACATGGAGAGGAGGAAGGCCATGGAGCTATCTGTGGGGGTGCTGCCTGCTGTGCCTTGCACACCTGGAGTAGCAGCACTTGACCCACCAGCAGCAGCGGCCGCAGCAGCAGCGGCGGCGGTGGCAGCTGCACCAGAAGCAGCAGGAAGAGGCGACTTTGCTGCAGCGGGAGCACCGGTTACCATTGCACCAGCAGCCACAGCCGCAGCAGCAGCCGCACGCCCCACTGCTTTCCCAGTTGACATCACAGCCGCACTGAAACTGGGCACAGCAGGGGATGACCGGCGGGCTTCGACGAGCCCACCAGAAGCTTCCTTGGTAAGTAACTGACGTGCATCAACAGCAGGCTGACGTGGCTCCACGTCATGCATCTTCTCGTCTGGCTGGGACTGCCACGTAGGCCTCCTGAACACCTCAGCAGGACTACCCGTTGAATCTATCCCTCCCGATCCTGCTGTCTCCAATGTAGTCGTTTCAGCACATGTCATGGAAACGTCTTGTGAGGCTGTGGCTTCAGCAGGGCGTGTGTGGAGCGTCTCTGGTGTTGCTGGGACAGCATGCTTTGTGCGCTGCATAACTGGTACCGTAGTCGGCGTGAGGGGAGAACCAGGAGCCTTGACAGCAAAGTCACTTGTTGCTGCTGCTGCAACAGAAGCAGCGGCAGCAGCGGCGGCGGTGGCGGCGGCGGCGGCAGGTGCAAGGGAGCATGCTTGCAGAACAGCCCGGCCAGGCAGCAAGAGAGTGTTGGGTTCAGAAAGCTTTTCAAGAATGGCCCCTCCGACCCCACCTCCATCATCACCACCATGAGCACCAACGCCACCATGAGCAGCAGCAGCCGTGGCAACTGCTTTGCTTGTAGCACCATCACCACCAGAATCACCATCACCCCTTTGCATCTCAACCTCTCCTCCCTCCTCCTGCTCCTCCTCAACACCCATCCGCTCCTTCTCCTGCTGCTCACTCTGCTTTGCCTTCCCAGATTCCGCAACATGCGGAGCAGCAGCAGCAGCAGCAGGACCCCTCTGCACCTCAGCCAGGAGCGATTTGATTCTCTCCTCAGTGGTGACCAGGTCGTCAGCAGCAGACACCACACCCCCATGCCTTGCACTACCGAGGCCGGTGTGTGGTAGTGCTGCCTGTCGTGTGCTCACTGCGGGTAGGCCTTGAGTGAGTGCTTTTCCTTGAAGTGATCGCTCAGCCAGTGGTGACCAGCAAGGCATGTCTGCACTTTGCCCTTGCTGCTGCTGCTGCTGCTGCTGCTGCTGCTGCTGCTGCTGCTGCTGCTGCTGCTGCTGCTGCTGCTGCTGCTGCTGCTGCTGCTGCTGCTGCTGCTGCTGCTGCTGCTGCTGCTGCTGCTGCTGCTGCTGCTGCTGCTGCTGCTGCTGTTGCTGCAGCCTGGTGCCTACTGCCAATGCTGCATTAGATAACATGGAGGGGGTAGAAAAAGCAGAACATAACATGGGAGGGAGTAGAAAAACCAGAAACCAAGGGCGCAGGGACCTGGTTGCATAAAACCAGAAAATCTCTCGCAGCAAAAGGTTACAAGCCAGCAAAGAGACACGCCGACAAGGAAAGAAATGCAGCCAAACATAATTTAAACAGTCAAGAGAGAATGAGGAGGTGCATACGTGACGAGGAAAGCAGCAGTGACCGCCCCGGTGCTGCAGGCGCCCCTGCTGTGCCACCAAGTGGGCTGTGAGGCACAGGTGCAGCTATGACAGGCATGCCAGGCATGCCGGGGACGCCGGCCATGCTGGGCGAAGAGTCTCGCATCGGGCCTCGGCGCAGCAGCTCCATGTTTGCTGCTCTCAGCTGGAGCGCGTCTGCTCGCAGCTGGGGAGAGGAGCGAGGGCCACAGGACACAACAATTGTAAGAGTTCTGAGTGAGCGATCTTGAGAACAAGGCAAGGTGCGGAATAGGAAACAGCCTAAGTGCCACCAGGAAGCACAGTCGCACTTGCTTACTTGAGACGTCTCTGCGTGTGCCTGCTGCAACTGGCTGGCAACGGAGTTGTAGCTTCCCAACAGCCCCTGGAACTGTGCTGATATGCGCTCCACGTATCGCTCCAGCTCTGCCAGCCGCTGCTGCTCCTTCTCCCCCCCCACCTGCTCTCGCTGCCATGACTCTTGCCCCTGCCGTTTTGCCCTGCCATCCACACAATTTACACGACAAGTTTGTGAGGCAAGTGGAATTTGGAGAATCGCCTAAAAGAGAGAGAACGTGGGTGAGACTCTGGGGAAAGAGAGGGTCGGAAAGGGGTTGAGGATCACCTAGAGGTATCCGTTGATGAATCCATGATGCCTCCCCAGTCAACGCCCTCCAGCACCTGGGAGCGACAACAGAAACACACACACACACGGACACACACACGCACGCACACGCACACACAACCGCACACACCGAAACAAACACACACGCAGAGGACCAAACAATGCACATCATGCCATCAGCCACATCCCGTGAAAAAACTGAAGCGCAGTGCTGAAAACGCAATTTCTTCAGCCTGTCATCGAAAAAGGCCATAAGGGCAAGCTACCTTGCGCTGCAAAGGGAAATCATTCCTCGCATGGCCCATCTCCGCCACTGCCTGCTCCGCCTTGAGCTTCCCCTCCATGGCCCACACCAACTCCGCCTCCAGTGCTCTCTGCCACCCACCCACGCAGGCACAGAGCAAACACACACTAGCGTCAGCAACAGAGCAATTTCTTCCCACTCACATGCAAGGGTGGAGAAAGGAAGATGATTTTTCAAGCAGGAAACATTCTAGCGATGGAGCAGAGGAGGATTTGCAATGCATACCTGTGTGAGCTTCAGGTCCTTGATCTCATGCCTGAGCTTCTCCGCAGATCCTTTGCACCTGATGCAGAACCTCCCTTCCTCCACTGGCACTTCCCACCCCATGGGCGCCTGAAATTGCTGCTGCTGCGCCTGCTGCTGCGGCTGGGGCAGCTGCTGGTCGCCTTTGGCCCTCCTCAGGTTGCTGCAACTCTGCAGGCCGAACGAGCTCCAAATCCTCTCCTGTAGCCCTAACGCACCAGCCGCATCACCCCATCCACCCCCCTCACCACCGCCAACAGCGCCGGCATCAGCAGCAGCATCTGCAATCATATCCGCGTGCCGCTTCCCCAAAAGCCCCCACCCTTCTCCCTGCTCAGCCGGCACTGCCATCCCCAGGCCCTTCCCAGTAGCAGCACCACCAGCTCTGCCCAAAGGCTGGGGCAAATCATCACCTCCTGTAACCATCAGACCTCCCACTCCTGATAAGCCAAAGGCAAGAGATGCTGCTGCGCCTTCACCACCACCAGCATCTGCTCTCCGTGACACGTGCAGCTTGCACCCATCCTCGCCATACCCCGCACCCAAGATCCTGCCACGCCCACTGAGACCATCGAAATCGCCACTGTCAAACCCCAACACAGGAACAATCCCTAGCCCTGGTCCTTCCTCCACATCTCCATCGTTGTCACTGCAAGATTTTCCTTGATCTGAGCCGTCCAATTCTCCAGCAGCAGCAGCAGCATCGTGGCTGTCATCTTCCAGTAGGTCCATGGGCATGTAGCTCATGAGAGAGGGCGACTCCGGATCCATGTCCTCTGCCTCCACGTCAGCACTGGTGCCACCATGGTGATGACGTGGCGCAGCAACATTCACGTGGAGCTCAATTCCAGACTCCACCTCTTCTTTTCCAGAACTAGCTGACTCGCCTTTCTCCATCTGGGTGTTGTGAAGTCGCTGGCAAGGAACAGGCACCACACCACTCCTAATACGTAGCAGAAAACGAAGCTTAACCAACTTGCAGGGAATAACCCTGTACAACGAGGGTGACGTTAGGAGCCACAGGCGTATTCTCTCCTAAGTAACTTAATTTCCAACCCTTGAAGCTAAGTCTTCAATGGATTGATAACTTGAAGCTCGGCAAGAGGTCGCTGCACACCGCCTTCAGCCTTCAGGCATCCACTCACACGACTGCCAACCGTTTGTCTGTTTGTCTTGTCAGCGCGATGCGTGATGTTGATGCAGACGATAATTTACTGCCTGCACGCCATGCAGCTGTCACAACCGAAACCAGCTGACACTGCTAAGAAGAAAAAACCGTGGACCGCCACAGTAGGCCTCATTCAAAAAGCTCTACGCAGGAACCTGCCAGGATCCCACATGTAGTAGATTAACTAGAGGTCTCAGAGAATACATAGATATGGTCGATGTGAACGAGATTTGAAGAATCTGAATCTAACAGATATACCTTCAGAACACCTTACCCGGAATCTACAGCGGATAAGACGCTCTTACCTGAAAAACCGAATCCAGTGGCGGACGATGCGCGTGCTGCCGAGGCTTGACTTTGCTGCAGCAGCACTGCGTGCGTGTCTTCCAAGAAAGAAAGCGTTAACGAGAATGACAGCACCAGTCAACAACAGCCTCGTCCGATCGCCCACTTGACGGCTCTTTCTCCCTCACAGCAACCTCGCGCTTCTGCCCGCCTCATCCTCGGCGGAAAAAGGAAACCCCAGCTCCTATGAATCTCAAAACCTCCTCTCCCGTATCGCGTGCGTCCTCCCTGGACGCAGCACGCCTCTCTCTCTTTCGCCCTCTATGCCTCATCCGGCATATGCGTCGCACATGCCATGCTCTCCCCTCCCTCCCACGCACACTATCCCGCCAGTCCATCAGGCAGACGCGTCGGGTCCGCTCGGCCAGGCTGTTCGGAATTCCCCATGCCATGTGGTGAGCCACCACGCCCATTCCCCAATATCCTTTCGCATCCGTTGCCCCCTCGAGCCGCATTCCTGCCCCTTGCGGTTCAAGCGACGCGGACATTGACCCTGCCTCAACTAGCTGTGCAGCCTGGACCTTGAGACTGTCTCGTAAGCGGGGAGGCTTAGTCCCCAGACAGCTGTCTCGGGAAGAAAATCTACGTGGCATCGAGAGAGGAGAGGCGAATGCGTGACACGTGTAGAAGGATTTGTGCGACAGGGCCAACAGTTGGTAAGAAGTGACACGACCTTTCGCAGCATGATACCGCCTGCACATGCACAGAAATGGTCCCAAGGCTTCATGCCAACGTGATCGGAAGGGTGCGAAACGCAAACTGACAATAAACCTGGATACTGGGTTCCTGTACAATTGTGTCGAGCTATTTGCAGTAATATCACAAACACGAAATCTGCTAGAGCACTCGTTATAGTGAGATACACTGCCCTACGAAGCTGATAATTCATTTTAGGTGTCAACTACTGAAGGTGCTGGAGCATGACAAAGTAAAAAAATTAAGGGGCTCCTTAGCCCTTGAAATCTGTTCTACTAGAAACCAGACGGAAACAGACACGATCCTTTCACGACAACCAAGGATCAAGCCCTGACTAGCCAGCCTCTCGCCGAAGCACATCCTTAACCAGCAAGTGCCTTAACCAGCACCACCAGAGATAAGCCACAGCAACCAGCCAGCGAGCACGAGCCCAAAACTAGGCTCTCTGACTCTGATAACTCTTTACAGAAGCTGGGCCACATCATTGGGCAGCTCCTCAATGACTGTGTTGTAGAAGCGCTGGATGTCCTGAAGCATGCGCTCATCATCCTTGGTCACAAAGTTAATGGCAACACCCTTACGACCAAACCGCCCTGACCGACCGATACGATGGAGGTAGTTCTCAGGCTGGGTGGGAAGGTCGTAGTTGATGACAAGAGACACCTGGAGGGAAAGGGAAAAAGAAGCATAGACCAGAGATCTGGTTTGATTCGACAACACCTCCACAGACGCAAGTTGTACACCAACGGAAATTAACAGCAGGAACGAAATGTTGATGAAAAATAGGGATGCTCTGGGAACAAGGTTGAGGTAAAAAAAACTCACACAACAACACCAGCAACACCAGCAGAATGACAGCGTTACAGCAAGCAGCTATTCTCGTACCTGCTGCACGTCAATGCCACGTGCCAGCAGGTCGGTGGTGATGAGCACACGGGACGAGCCAGAGCGGAACTCCCTCATGATGATGTCACGCGTGTTCTGGTCCATGTCACCGTGCGTGGCCGACACCGTGTGGTCGCGGCTGCGCATCTTGTCCGTGAGCCAGTCGACCTTGCGACGAGTGTTGATGAAGATAACAGACTGCACACGACATATGTTCGGGTGGAGCACAACGGAGGATCAGGGAACCCCAACACAGGAACCGAACGATTGCATATCGTTACCTAGGGTTTCAATGTGAAGATGCTGAATCTACAGCTTTACAACAATAGGAAGGGAGTGGACAAGTCACACATCCGAGAAAGGAGTCCAATTGCTAAGTGATAAGGACACCTACCTGGGTGATAGCAAGGGTCTCGTAGAGATCGCAAAGCGTGTCCAGCTTCCACTCCTCCTTCTCAACGTTAACGTAGAACTGCTTGATACCCTCCAGGGTGAGCTCGTCACGCTTCACGAGAATCTTGACGGGCTTGTTCATGAACTTGCGGGTGATCTCCAGCGCTTCCGGCGGCATCGTGGCGGAAAACACGCCGACCTGAAGCTTAGGCGGCAGCAGCTGGAAGATGTCGTAAATCTGTAACACGGAAAGCACATTGCCGTAACGAAAAGTTACGTCATCAAGTCGACAATGTAACGTCACTAACTATGTATGTAGGTAAGGCTGTTCCTACAGTCTAAGAGCTTATGCGACACCGAGCATGAGGTACGGACCTGATCCTTGAAACCGCGAGAGAGCATTTCGTCGGCCTCGTCGAGCACGAAGCACTTAATGTGGTCCGGACGAAGGGAGCTACGACGCAACATGTCGTACACGCGACCAGGAGTACCCACCACCACGTGGACACCAGCCTGCAAGCACACGGAAGAGAAAATGTCAATAAGCTGAAGGCTTCACGAAAACCGGCCTCGATGAAGTCAATAATCACCAGTCACGGACCTGGAGAATACGCTGATCCTCGCGAACGCTGGTACCACCGACGCACGCATGAACCTTGACCTGGAGGTAATCGCCCAGCGCGCGCATGACCTTCTCGATCTGCTGCGCCAGCTCACGGGTGGGTGCGAGAACCAGAGCCTGGCATTCGAGCAGCTTGTAGTCCAGCTGCTGCAGCACGCCGGAACAGAACGTCGCCGTCTTGCCGGTTCCGGACTGTGCCTGCTGAATCACGTCCAGACCCTTGGCAAACGGCACGATACCGCGCTGCTGGATCGCGGACGGCTTCTCGAAACCTGTAGTGTCGGGGTGCAACAGTCCGGTTATTAGTAGATCAGACTGATGCTATGGAGAGAGGTTTGATGATGTGGTAAGTAGTAGTCGACTGCCTTCTCGTTCGTTCGTTGCTCTCAAAATTCCCGTTCCCTACTTTCTCTTAACCTACCGTAAGCGTAAATTCCACGGAGAAGGTTCTCGTGAAGACCCATGATATCGAAGCTCTCGTGCACCTCATCCCAGGTGGAGATGAAGTCCTCGCCCTCGCTAGCAAGCCTGCACCACGAACGACAGGTAACAGCGGCGACCGTGTCGGTGCAATTGTTGAAGAGGGTTTATAAGCACGCGGACTTCACAACCTACAAGGTATGATGATACCAACAGCCACCCGAAAACTATCTCGGGACCCCGTGAAGGACATATTTGAATAACCTATATGCTAGTTGGAACTCTACACTTACACATCTGCCATTTTGCTGTCATACTGCTTCGCGTCAAACTGCGATCCTTCAGGAGCCATGCCAGCCATGTTGGAAAGCTTTCTTGATAAAACAAGAACGCGACTGTTATAGGTGAAAGGGATCCGGGAAGGACAGAATATTATAAAGACTGAAGGAACATCTGGAACCTGAAGTAAGGTGTAGGTGTTCTTGGTGGGGCAACAACCAGAAATCGGAAAACATCTGTTCCTTAACCATCATCACTACAATAAGTGACAAGGAATCGGGTTTAGTTGAGAAACGAGGAGTTACTGTGTGGGGGTTTAGCAGGGACTTACGGAGAGGCCTGAGAGGCCTGAGAAGAGCGTAAAGAACGAATGAAGGGAGCTTGAGAGAGCAGGAAAACTAGGCGCAGCCTTGCCTGGCTTAGGCGCGCAAGAGGAGTTGAAGTGATGGAAAGGTTGAGTATGTAAGGAGAGGGACGAAGGTAGGGGATCGGAACAGCTAAGGAGGCGCGAGATTGGGGAGAGGTGGTATGGGGCACGTCACAGGTATGGATGGGCTGGTCTGGTAACCACAAGCAGGCTTGGGTTTCCCTAGACGCCTGCGCTGGGGCCTTGGGGTCTGCTACACGGGCAATGGACAGAAACTTTCGCCCGGGCTTTTCTCCCACAAGTTTGGATCAACGGCTCGATCTGAGGTTGCAACGGCAGAACAATCATCGCGTGGATAACGAAGGTTGTGGTGAAGCTTGGGGGCTGCTGTGGCTGACCACCCTGACTAGAAAATCCCTTCGAGTGGTTGACGCCCTCGAATCTCGACAACAGTTTCTTCACCACCACCACCGCACAAGTTTCACGGGCAGGAAAACAAACGGGGACCTTCTTGGGACTTCGACACAAAAGTTTCATTTGGAGAGTTCTGCCACGTCAGAGCAGAAAGCTCACAGAAAAATGTTTTTTTCAAAATCTCCATTTCAAGTCGTATCGGAGTTGCAACATGACGAAGTGCAGTTCCCAGTTTTCTCAAACGAATGTATACTACCGTATATTGGAAAATACTGAAGTATCTTCAGCAAAAGTGCTAATCACCTGCT